AATAATCAAGGGACTCTGAGAGATTTAGACGGACTTCTTTGATCATAGTTCTGCTCGGTGACCAAGAAGACTACAGTATGAACGCGCCCTCAGAGAGAGAGAGAGAGAGAGAGAGAGAGGAAGAGTTGTTAGGCAGAAAGCACTCGGCAGAGTACAGCAGGGGACATGTCAGAGAAGACAAAAAAAAAACTCTCAGACAGAAATGTTTGAGCCTATAATGAAAGGTGTCATTGAATCCTCCCCAAAAAGCCGTTCTGCAGACAGAGAGAGAGAGGGGAGAGAGGGGGGGGGGGGGGGGCGGGGAAGCGGCTTTAAATGCCTTACACCATTTGTACCATCATCTATCCCTACCTCTCAGCAAAACCCTTATCAAGCAGACAAAACGGATGGAGGGAACCATAGATTTTAATACGAGAGACCGCCGTATCTCTCTCTCTCTCTCTCTCTCGCTCTCTCTCGGTTCTGTGAATTCTGAGGGGACGTGATAAAAAAACACACAGGCTGTGCAAACTATGGCGAGCGTCTGCAACGATGACCATCCTTGAATGCGATCCGCCTCGTTTCACGTCCCCTTCTCCAGACCTGCTGCTCCTGCGAGGGATGGGTCCCGATGCAGCAGACCTCATGGATGCGAACGATGCATTTCTCCGTCGTCTGCTTACTTATATCTCCTTTGATCCAGATGGACCATGTCCTCCGAGGCCACATATTTCTTCTTGGACTCGGTTTGATCCCACCTTGGACTACATCCGCTGGGTTTACTGGCGTTCTCTTCCGTCCCCCGATGCGTGCTTCTTCGTCATATCACAAAGTGTCCCCCACCGAGAGAAAGATTTAGCTCATATAATTTCTTCGTGACATTAACAAAAGAAAAAAATAATAATAACATGACATAGTAATCGACGATAGTATCTCAACACAGACCTGATTGATCTTTTTAGAGCAAAGCATAAAGCGCATCAATAACTGAACAATTGCTGGCTAATTTGTAGTATTTTATTATGTAGATTCGGCGTAATTAATAATGTGAACTTTCGAACTACTTGATAAATACAACCAACTATATTAACTCACTGTCTGCTATGCACACCTTCCTCTACTGAGTGAGTTCTTGGGCTATCCTACTTTGGTGGTCCAAAAATGATAAGAACGAAGAGGATCGATGAAGTCAGTTAAACTCCATTCGAGTTAATCAATCCGTGTACTCTGTATCTTCGAGAACAGAAGCGAAGACGAGTCAGTGATGTACTCTTTAAGCGCCTATCTATATGATGAATCCCTGGGACTGCTTACCTTTGACCGATCTTAAGCATCTATCTATATGATGAATCCCTGGGGCTGCTTACCTTCGACTGATCTCCTCGCTCGACCAGATGAACTGACAAGGCGGTGTGCAAGTAAGTCAAGTCAAGGGAAGGGAAGGGAAGGGAAGGTCATCCTCGCGTTGCGTCCAATCAAAGAGCAAGTGTTGCACGGGCACGAATGACAACCGACCACGTACCTGGAGAAAGGTGGCCCCGGTACGTAGGACCAACTGTGCGGGAGGATTCCCGATGCTCGCTAAAAAGTCCTTCAGCTTTTCTGCCAATGGTTTCCATCGATGCGGAAGAAAGAGAGAGGATGGGACGACGTAGCTGTCACAGGGAGAAGAAAAAAGTCTCTCCGAAAAGAAATAAAAGCCTCACGGAGGGAGTAGGAACCAGAGGAGGACTGAACTCTGATCATCGCAAAGGGAATAAGGCCGACAGATGAGCAAACAAACACAGGTACGCAGTCACTTGGATCTATGCGAGTAAAATATATGATGCATACCATATCCTTTTTCTGTTTCTCAGAGTAAAAGGGTGGTGGAGTTCAAGGGGGAGGGGGCGGAGGCGGGGCGAGAAATGAAAGATGAGGACAGAGGCATTAATGGGACAGCGCCAAGACCGTGAGCGATCACTTATTTTGACCACTCGTGTTCCTTGGAGATCGGTGAATCGCACGCTTTCCTACACCAGTAGAGGAGGGAACAGAAAACGGATGATCAAAGAAGACTGACTGCCCGATGTCATCCTCCTTAAATAAATACATGCTTTGTGTCCGCTGCGCCAGTAGATGACATTGAAGGCATTCGGACAAAAGGGGAGGGGAGAGATGCATGTCCTCCTCGACCATAACCAGGCTATGAAAATGAACTCTGATGCAGCGATGTAATATCGTAGGAGTTCAGCGATGCAATAATGAACTCTGGCTGCGCCAGTTACTAAGAAGAAGCACGTAGGAGTTCAGCGATGTAATATGGTACGCGTATCGGTGCCCCGCGTGCATGCTACTTGGTTTCGGTGGGTGATGCGGTGCACTAGTGGTTTTCTAAGATGTCGTTCAACGCCAACGGGACCGGGTGGAATTGAGAAGAAAACATCTTATATCTCTTTTGATTTTGGATCAGCCAATGCATCAATTATCGATCATTCATCTGTCATCCTTCGGCAGATCGGCAAACATCTGATATATGGAGAGGGGGGTGGGGGTGGAGGAGCGAAGTAGGAAGAGAAGGTGGAGAAAGAGAAGAAAAGACAATGGGAACGAGAAGGAGTGACACGATTAAAGTTGGGTTTTATGCATCGTAGAAAGTAGCATGGTGTTAACCAAGCCTCTGTTCTTCCTGACTAGCTCAAACCAAACGTCAGTTCTACTCCACAGTGCGGTCAAAAAGATGAAGGATGGGATGCTGGATTTCTGGAGCTTTTAACGCAGAAAACAAAGGCGTGGGTTAATCGAATCCCACGATCGATGAAGGCGTGCATCCCTTTCCCGATTACTCACAGGTGCGGGAAAGCAAGGTTAATTAGCAAGCTTTTTGCCCAGTCGAAGTGACTGACTGACTGACGGCAGTGAAGAAGGGGGTCGAAGCGGTGATGTGATTGGATCAAACAAATGGTCACTGCAAAAGCTAGGATCGGAATGGAGGAAGATCGCCACGGCAGCACAAACCATAGTTTTCTTCCTCCCATTACATCCCTCCCGGTGCAAACAGCGGCATTAGATTTTGTTTGATGTATGAGGGGTTTAAATGGTGATGTGATGTGATGATGGTATGCTGCTCGACTCAAATCTCGATCGAGATGTTTTCGAGTGTGTCGTGAACCCAAAGGACGAAATCAGTCGGGCAACCATTCCATCAATAATTTTAGCTTTCGGACTGATGTCGATGTCCCATCTCATACATACTAACCACTCTCTCTCGGCAGCCAATTCTACTCGAGACTTGATTATTGTCGAAAAAATGAAATAAAATAATATCGATAATAAATATGCTGAACTAAACTTTGGAAGATCAAATTCCTCCCAAAAAATACTATGATAATGATTTTTAATGTGAATCAACAATTCTTTTTCTAAAAACAAGATATTATCAGGAGGCAATCATCGCTCTGATCATGCCAATGTCGAGCGTGAAGACATGAGGGAACGATGTGTCGGGCTTGAAGAAATCTGCGTCGAAGACGTGAGAGGAATTGACGGACCCAAACACCAATCTATGCGTCGGGAGCAGACACAAAACGCGTTGGATGGAAGCATGATGTCGACCTCAAGTTTACATGGCCCTAACTAAGATGACTAAACATATTATTATTAGTACGTATGATCTTTAATAAACACAAAGAAAAAAACCATAAATGTAGACATTATGAACTTCTTCTATTTATGCTTACGAGATTGATCTATGCAAAGAAAGAAACAACCACGAATAGAATCATTCCCAACTTGTATTTCTATCTGCAATACTTTGTCCTCGACTCAAAAAGTGCAAAGTTGACCCGAATGGTCTTACGTTAAAGAATCTGTATCCCATTTAGAGTTGGGAAAAGGAAGGTTTGCTTTGAGATAAAAGCAAAATGGAGTCCCGATTAGTAAATTCAAGTTATCAAATGACTTTGGTTACTACACACATAGACACTTGGGTTTTCTGTATTCGGTCGATGATCTTATTATTCGATGATGTATCATATGTTACAGATATATTTTATCTTGAACGGATATATTAAGCGTAACAAAAATTATATTGCTTGATTTATACGCATAAAGTATTTTAGGTGATTTTTATCCTGAGCAGTAACAGGATGCCTTGTCCAGTTATGGCATGCTTATCTTTTGGGCAAATGCATCAAAAATAAGGGGATGTCTTGCCTAGTTAGATTAAATTATGTGTTTTGAATGCTAATCTCTCAAGCGAATGCATCTAACCTTGGAAGATACTTTTGTCTAATTACGAAACATTGGATGTTGTAAATACTTCTCTTTGTATGCTGTTCTTATATCAAACACTTTGAATGCTGTTGTTAAAAGGCAATTATATTAGACATAGAGATGGATTGTCAGGATGTGCTTTGATGCGTTAGATTTATTATTATTATTATTATTTTACGCTAGACAAATACTTCATATAAAAAAAAGAAGATATCTTGTCTTATATAGTTAGTGTACATCAAACACCTTTTATTTAAGTGTATAGTATACGACAAATACAATGTCTTACGTAAGGGTGATTTTGTTTCGAGACATATTGATTAGAGGGCATGAATTCCTTTAATACCTACCGGTTAAATCTGATATTGGAAGTCTATCCACATGTATGTATGTCATTAAGCAATTTAAGTTTGGTTAAAGATTAATTAATTAATTAATTAATTAATTTATAGAATATAAAAGAATGTAGCTAATTGAGTGGGGAAGTCTGACCCTTCCTAACCACATGTTTTGGTTCGCTGCCGTGCCAACCGTCGTATTCTTTTCGGTTATTTTGGCTCGCTTTTTCTTTTTCTTTTTCTTTCTTTTTGGGAGAAAAACCTTTATGGCATTTCCGAAATTTGTGACATTGAGTAGGGGGCATTCACGGGACTTCGCCTCGTATTCTACATCTTTATTTATTTATTAATATTAATATTAATATTTTGTTCCGCCAACTCGTCGATAAATTAACGCCGGTTTCGCCGTCTCCCTGCTTTCAACTCGTCCGTCACCCCCCCCCCCAGGAAGGAACAAGAGTGCGCAACGTATGCCCCGCGCCCCCTCCTCGTCTCCCCTAGCACCTGTCGTCGCCCGCTCTCGCACCTCGTAACCCTAGAATCCCCAGCTCCGGAGCAATCGATCCTCACGGCGGCTCCTGTCCAACGACCTGGGTGGCGGCCATGTATGTCCATCTCTCATTCGGCTTCCTCTTCCCCTCGTCGTGGGAGATCGTGGTCACCGTCTCCGCGGCGCTACTCGTGATCGTGTTCTACTCCCTCTGGGGAAATTTCCCCTCCGGCGGCAACGGAGGCGAGGACGAGATGCCACTTGGCGGGGACGACCCCCCGTTGGCCGCCAGAGAGCTTCTGCTACGTCAATCGGTTGTTAAGGACAAGGTTAGTCGAATCGAGCCGGTCTCTTTGTGCGTGTCTTTTTAAACCCCGATGATGATCATAAGATGCACACTTTTGTCCTTTTTTTGTGATGGAAATTTTTTGTTTCGATGATCAATTAACTTATTTTGTTTGAATGGATTCATAAGTTGGTTGGTTTGAAGTTATAGAGACAGTAAATATGAAGAGGCTGTGATGATTCCACATAATGAGTTGCAGAGCCACGACCTCACAGAAAGCCGGCGAGTCTCACGTCGCCGAGGTGTCTTTTTGGGCCCATCTCAAAAAGACAAAACCACGATGCCCTTCATCAGACTCGGTGGAGATGTGGGGTACAAATACCCTATGGCTCTTCGACTGGACCCGCCCCCGAGAGCTTTTCTTTTTAATTCCAAATTTTACCGTGTCTTCGCGGACTAAGAAAACCCCCAATTCTGAGTCATTATGCGTGGTCATTAAATAATGGAATTGGTTGATCTAGGTATGACACCGATTTAGGACCGGCGAATTCTTTTTTAACCAATGATGGTGTATCTTCATGCTAGCCTTATGACTTTGGGAACCTTCCGAAAACATGATTTCTATTTGTTTTCTCAATTGGTAACTGAACCTTTTGAGTGCCATAAGCTGTAAGACCGGCTTGAGGGCCTCTGTTGCTCTTCTCTGAAGAATGCAATAGGGAAAAATAAAATAATATTACCCGTACTTGCTTCATTAATTAATGATGAGAACAGCAACAATGTTGAGGACTAGCGTCGGAAGTCGGGGAGAAATGTGAAGTTGCATGGGTGTGTTTATAGATAGGTAAGAGTTACATTGTTCCGAGTTGAGCAATTTATAAGTGCCCTTGGTCTTGTAAAGTTGAAATGAGACAAGGAAAGAATGATAGGTCATCTGGTAGGTTATTGCAGTAAATGATGTAATCGGCATATGGCCAACCTACTCTTGATTTGGTCTAATTCAACTTTTAAAGGTCCAAGGGCAACATAGTCCTTTCCCAGTAACAGCAACTTATAGGTTGCTTCACTCGGAGCAATATTACTCTCCCCGTATTCACTTTTTTTATTTTCCTTCCTTTTTCAGCAGTCAACTTGCTTGTATAAGCATGATGGTGAAGTACTATGCTAATAACATGTGTCGATCCTCGTAGTCCTTGTCAGCTGATATAACACTGGAAGCCAAAGAACATTTAGGTAACGAACACCGAGAAAAGATGCTGTGTCTTCAAGAACATTAGAGAATGCTTTTTGTATTTTTAAGTGGAATGGTCCATGTATCCCTCCCTATATGTGGGACTAGAGCTTTTTTCTTCCAATTATTGGTTTGAAACATAGATTGATGATTAACATGTCCTTTTCTGTCTTATATATTTAAGTGGTAAGACAAGTTTTGGTTCATAGCATTTTGTTAATTTGTGTCTTCTTTCTGGCTTAAGTTTGTCATTCACTTGCTTGAAATTAAATGGGCTTTAGATGGAGCTTCTTTGATGTTCCTTTTTCTTGCATTCTCCTGATTTGTTCTCGTTAGGATGTTGTTTGTAAATTTTTTCTTTACGATTTTCACTATATAAGATGTCTTAAAGGGATAATTCAAGTTTTGTTGGGCTTTATCAGCTGCTTTGCATGTAAAGGTTTGATAAAATATTTTTTCATTTGCTTGACATGCAGTTGTCCACTTATTTTGTAGATGAGCCATATTAAAGTTGATACTCAAGGTACTCCTGCGTATGTAGTCAAGGTACTGTTTTTTGGATATTATAAACCTCCTGAATGGGATTGAATCAGTATGTTCTTTTGCAAGTCAAGGAGACCAACTATTTGGCATGTGAAAATCTTGGAGTTTATTCTGGATCATTTAGTATCATGCTGTTTAATATTATTTTCTTTCATTTTGATATGAAAATATGGAACCTTTGTAATTCAGCTAGAGCTATTGGCTGCAAAAAACTTAGTTGGTGCTAACTTGAACGGGACATCTGATCCTTATGCAATAATTACATGTGGTGAACAAAAGCGATTTAGGTGCGTATGTATTTTATATTTATTTACCTGTAGTGTTTGTTTGACATTGCTTGAAACTAAAGTGTATTGAGATTAGTTTGTGATGTATATTTGTTAAGCTTTTGGCTTTTAGTTTGTTGAGGTAGCACTTTCATGGTTATTTTTCTGTCATAGTGGAGACAAATGGTTACTTACGAGTCATGTGAACAAAGAATATGTTGCTGAAAAAAAGGATCCATTAAATAGAAAAATAACTTAAATGTACTAACCAAACAGACTGTATTTGGACTTTTGCTGACTGATCTGATCTAAATTGGGCTCCATGTTCTAGACAGATTACACCCTTTAGCTGCATTGTTTGTGAGTAGTCAAACTTATGCTAGAACGAGATTCATAGTTTCAGTCACTTATTTTCTCTTCATCCCAAAATCATACTTGAGAATTCTTATATGCCTACCTGTCGCAATATATAAACTTCCCCCAACAGTCAACTTTATCTCTTTTTTAGTTTCTTCAACAGTTCTTATCCTTATTAAATTTAACGCAGAGTTCTCAGTTATTTTTCTTTTTAATGTCTTTTTTGTATAGTTAAGTGTAATTTTGATTTTAGGACTCTGGGGCTTAGAGATACATGGAGAGGAAGCCTTAGTGTCATGATAAAGTTACTCTCATGACCTAGGTGACCATGGTTTTAGTCATAGAAATAGTATCTTTGATTGCAGTGACAAGACTGCATACATTGGTTTCTCTCCGGACACCTTATTGACATGAGCTTTGTGTAGTGTGCCAGCCTTTTCCAACTTATTGAGATACATAGGATTATTGTTAAAATACATATGAAAGTCAAAAAGTTAAGAGCCTTTTCTTGAGTTATAAATATTTATTCTCTAATGCTCTTGTATTATTGTCTTTGAGTTGTGACTTATATATATTTTCCATTCAAGTTCAACAACTTTTATGTTATGCAGCTCCATGGTTCCTGGCTCAAGAAATCCAATATGGGGGGAGGAATTTAATTTTTTTGCTGATATACTTCCTGTTCAGGTTGTTTTAGGTTCCCGTATCTTCAAGTTCTTATCCAATCATGTTAATTGAAAATAAATTAATGAACAGTAGTTGGCATCTCTGAACCCTTTCTACAAATACCTTCTGGCCTTTTGTGCTGATTTATATTGCTGCAATTTACAATTAAGTAACTTTTTAGTATATGCATTTTGTTGCAGTTAACACTTAAAACGACATTTCAGAAGTTTTAATCTTTTGTAGTATGTTTGTACAATTTACAGGATGAAGTTTATAGTAACTATTTATATGTTATATGCTAAAACGCTACTTGTTGGATTATAGCATCTTGGTTTAATCATATTCGTGAAGTTTCGAAGATACCCCACTCAAATGATAAAAAACTCGATCAGACCAGTCCATACTGACTGGTATCTACCGGTCTGGCTAGAAAATGGGACATGGACTGAGTGATTTTGCCCTTTTTGGTTCATACAGTGCTAGCTGGTAACTATATATATGTTATATGCTAATACGTTACATGTTGGATTATAGCATCTTGGTTTAATCATATTCGTGAAGTTTCAAAGATCCTCCACTCAAATGATAAAAAAAACAATCAGACCAGTCCATACTGACTGGTATCTACCAGTCTAGCTAGAAAATGGGCCATGGGCTGAGCGATTATGCCCTTTTTGGTTCATAACAGTGCTAGCTGGTAACCCTACCAAACCAGTTACTGCTTGGTTCTAATGAATAAAACCAAGGATACTCATTACTCGTTTTTCTATATTTTTTAAGTTTTTGACAGTTGTCCTTTTCTTCTCTTTCTTTTTTCTTCTCCCTTGATGCTCCTGTATCCCTTGGTTTCTTTCTCTTGATATCACCCTCCTTTCCTTTGTTTCTTCCTCCTTGCTGCCTTGCTAGTGGGTTAACATAACTGCCATGGTGTCCCGTCTTTTCTGTCCCAATACTTCACTGCTCTGTCGCCGTGCCATTGTCGCCCCACTGTGTCACTGCTCCACCACCTCATCACCTGTTCTGCTATGTTGCCGCTTCCTCCTTCCAGCGTACCGCCGCCTCCAATGCTCTTCCTCCTTTTTCCTTCTCCTGTTCTTCTTTTGCTCCCCCTCTCTTCCTCCTGTTCTCCTCTCCTTCGCTCTCTCTCTCTCTCTCTCTCTCTCTTTTTGTTGGCCTGAGCCAACCTGTACACTAGCATACCATGTGTTGGTACATCAATACATACCGGATCCTTATCAGCCTGAGCTGGGATTGATATGGGACTAGGACTGAAACTTGAAACATTGTTTGGCAGTTTGGCTCAGCATTAGATAAATAAAAACAGTTCTTCTGCATGTTTAAGAGTAATCATGTTCCGTAAAACAATCTCTATGCTACCAGGCAGATGCTCACAATGTAGTTGAACCATCAAACTTTAGGAATCTGTATTTAGTGGATTTATCACACCATCTTATTATCATGCTTTTGCTAGTAGGAAATATCATGAGAACAGAAGGTCTACAGTGCTGCTAGTCATGTTTGTTTTGCCAGACGCATGCTCACATAAAAGGTTCTTTTGATATACTTGGAAACCTTTTCTATTGTATTTCTATTGCTTTATGGTGAAGATATACTAATTTTAAGAGCATTTAAATGAAAATTTTGAGAGAACCTTGAAATATTAAAGCAAGCAAGAATACTTTCTCCCAGCATAACACTGGAAGAATTCACTAGCCATTCGACTTAAAAGACTCGCTATTATGCCTTCCTCTTTTTGTTGACACCTCGCATAGTTTTTGTAGTGCTCATCTTCCAAGCAATATGTTAGATGGAATACAGAATTACAGATTATGGAAGTAGTAGTCCGGAAGCATTTTATGAAAGTGCTTCTTGTTATGTTCTAGTGCCACGTAGGTTGAAAATTGATTTTGTATAACTAGTCCTTGATACCAATGATCTAGATAGTGATGTGTATCAGTTGTTTAAATAGGCACCCGGGCGCTCGCCTAGGTGCTCGAGTGAGGCAAGGCGCGGCTCGAGCACCTCAAGGCTTGCTTAGGTGACGCACTTCAGTGAAGCGCCACTTGGGCACTTGCTTGAACCTACATGTCGGGCACCTCGAGTGAGCGCTCGGTTAAAGAAAAGCTAGATTAGTTGGTTCAATTGAACCAACTAAGCTAAATAACTTTACTAAAGCTACGCACGTAAACCCAACACCCCCCTCGCACGACCTCGACCCATTAACCCTACTTTGTGCGTAGCCGTTGCCTCCGTCACTACCGTTTCCTTTGCCATCGACGCATAGGACCGACGCTTCCTCTGTTGCCGACGGATGGGTCCAAATGTCTAACTTTCGTGCGCAGTTCCCTTTGTTGTTGTTGCTTTCGTGTGCATCTCCTTCCATCGTCGAGGGAGAGGACCATAGCTTCTTCTGCCATTGACGGACACATTCGATTCTACCCATGATGTCGTCGTCCGCAGCTTCTGCCGCCACCGCTGTCGCTGTCTAAAGCTTTCTCCATCATTGCTACTGTCATTTGTAGCTTCCTCCGTCGTCGTTGCTATTGTTAAATAAAAAAATAGAAGAGATACAACTCAAAAATAGTACTATTTGAAGATTCTTCTTGAGGCCTATGCCTGTCTGGAACAATCTTGCAACTTGGTAGACTGCCTTTGGCTGACCAGCATTATCTGCAGCAGGAAATAATTTGCAGGCTGTCTCTAAATCCCTTTTCACACCAATGCCCTTAAGATACAACACACCTAGGTTATAATAACCACCAGGCTCCTTATTTTCCACAGCTTTCTCAAAATATTCCTTTGCCTGCAAGAATAAGTTAAAATTGAAGAATGCTAATGACTATCAGTAAAATTCAATTAAAAAAGGTTAATAAGCACTAGAACATAGTAAACCAAGATTTCTTGTCAAATTAATATTCTTGAACTCAAGCCCACTTGTACAACCTGACTTCAGTGGAGAAGGATCTCAAAAGCTTGGTAATTTAATCAGACCAACTGATCACAAAAAAAACACAGTTATGGAAAGCAAAAGATACAGTTATAGCAACATGAACATACCACAGACTATCCAATTCAAGACAAGATTTTCAACTAATGTAAGACACACAGATATGACAAAGACAAAGAATCAACAAGCTTCCTCTACCACTACTGTTGCCGTCCGCATTTTCCTCCATCGTCGCTATCGTCGTTCGAAAGTTTCTCCGTCATCGCTGCCCTCTCCTTCTCCACTTTCCACCGTCGGTGACTCTTTTCTCCCCTCTAACTACTGTTAACGGTGGATTAAATATTATTTATTAATTATATTATATATTTTTTATATTTTAATATTTCAGAGCATCTCGCTTTGTTGGGTGGGTGGGTGCCTAAGCAAGCGCCTAGCGCCTGGGGCATTTTGGGACCTTGGCACCTCTTGGCACCTATCACTTCTTAAATCACTGATGTGCATCCTTTCCGGCCATTAAGTTTTTTATTTTTACTAATCTTCAGAGAGGGGCTGTGGAATCTAGGTATGTTCATGATCAAAGCGATTTCCTTCCCAATTTCCAATTCTTTTCTCACCATGTCTCAATAACCTCTTATTTGTCCTATACACAATTGCCCAAAACCTTTTTCCTTTTCTAATGCTCTCATGTGCTGAGAAGGTGTGAGAGTTTAGTAAATTGTAAAATGCAATTGTGATGTCTAATGGAGGGTCATCAGACCCTTTCTTTATAGTTAAATAACCAAGCATATTCTGGAGTTCGGTTCATGTTTTAAGGTTTTTCCTCGACTGGTACATGCTGTTATTTTTTGTCTGGGCATGAAACGGGATGCAGATTACCGCTCTTCGGGCGGTCTGGTCTAGTTTTTTTTAAATTTATTTAAAACATGGACTTAGGGTTTTGGCGCATGCAAGTAATGAACATCATGGCTTGCATCGCTGCCTACCCGCCGCAGCTGTCGACGAACATCCACTACTTCTACTACCGACCCTCCTCCTTCTCCTTCTCCTCCTCCTCCTCTTCTTCTTCTTCTTCTTCTCGTTCTCTCCGCATCCTACTCCTACTCCTCCCCTCTTCTACGTACCATGGTACAGACCGGCACACTGTGTCAGTATGGACCAGAATCATATCAGTCCAATACTGGATTCTAACAATAAAAAGAATATACCTCACTTTCATCTCAGTATGCCCTGTTAACTTTGGCTATTTAGTTTCTTCTGATAAATTATTTTTCTAACAATCTTTTAATCTTAATCAGTTTTTTTGGCTCTTGGATTGTTTTTCACGTTGTTCCATATCAGTATTTGATTTTTCAACCTCTCGACGATGTTGAAACTGTCACTGATTTAATTAGCTGAACAGAATTTTTATTAGATTGGTTAATCCTTCAGAATTGACTCTCCAAAATTTAAACAACATATGCAGATTTAGTTAGAATATAAGAAAGGAATTTGATGCCTGTTATTGCCCTTTGATATGAAATCATTTTGATTTATTTTTGTAAGTTTAGGGTATTTTTTTTGCAAATGCCCTCTGTTGCTACATGGAAACATCTATTACAATCGTTCGTAAGTTACTAAAATTTCCCAATGAGTAGAAAAAGGAAGCCAAATAAAAGAAGGAACAGGACAAATCTTAGGTATGATTGAAGATTCTCAAGGAAAAGGAAGGAGATAAGTACTGTATTTGATTGATGATTTCATCTCTATGAGAAGGTTTTTCATGTTATTAAAATGAAAGTGTATAAATTAGATATATCATAAAAAAGAAGTAAATTCTCCAATCAAATTCAGAAATCTATTTTTTTTTTGGAGGAAAGAGTAGATGATCTATTTGCATTGATGTAATTATAACCTTTTCTTATTTTTGTATTTTTTTTCTTGTGCATGGGTCTATAAGAGGAAAATGAATTATAATTGAACATTAAAGAATGATAGACCGTATGAAAAGTTCTTTTCCAAATTATGTGTGTGTGGTATAAGGGCACATGTATTTTTCAAATACTATGATTCTATTGTTCATATACGAGGCATGTGGAGATGTGAGGTTTTCGTCCTTGGGAGTTATTTCTTGAGCGAGAGTGAGTCTGATGGATATCTCTTCTTTTACCTAATATCTTTCACTATTATTTTCTCCCACCCCTCCCCCTGTGCTCTCTCTCTCTCTTAATGTCTGCGCTGCATCACCTTTAATGGAGCTTTTTGGTGAGGAATAACCATCGCAGCTGGCCCCGAGTCATTCTGAATAATGGTTCCGCTCATTGTCTGCATGATTGTGTTACTTGCAAGTTTGGCTCACATTTCTTGTGGCAATTAGTAAATCTCTTTAAGCATTGAATTGTGATCTTAGGTGCAAACTTCGTTCAGAATTGAGATCAAATTTTGCAGATTGCATAAAATGGATTGTTATTCTTGATTCCTCATTTATCAATTGGTACTTGTGGCTACTAGGAACTTTGTATTCACAATTTTTTTTTAAATGGCAGTCATTTATGTATTGTCCACACTATCTTTGAAAAACTTGTTCTTGTTCGAAATCCCAGCACATGTTATAGTATGTTAAATAATCTTAAAATCAATTGTTTAATCGAGCTGATTGATTGGTCTGTTAGCATGTGTTGGTCACTCTGCTTTTCTTGGTATTCCAACGTTGATTTATAGATATGTAATCTGAGTTTTGATTTTTTGTGTTAGCATCGCTTTGCAGTTCTGGTTCTGTTAATAGGACTAATTATTTAATAGGTTCTTTGGTTGCGATTTCATGCTTTTATTCCCTTTTGTTCACTGTATGCCACCTTGTTATATAATGTTAAAATCTTTAGGGAGTTACTTAAATGATTCCAATCTTCATATATCTGTCAAGTAAGTTATGGACAGATTTTTCTTTTTTTTGCTTAAAATGGGTTAGGTGGTCTTCCATCCTAGCTGAAATTGCTAAAAACAAACTAGTCAAAAGAATAATTCAGCTAATTTTTTTGGTCACTTTTTTAGTTATTCTCTTTTTTCACTTGGCTTTTGCTAGTTTCTGGTGTCACACTTTGTATTATCTTCATCTCCATTGTAGAGCTCCAGATTTTTGGAAATGGATACAAATGTTCGACTACATTGATTCAACACATTGAACTTTGTGCTAATTGAAAAAAAGTTATACACTATGTTGAGATGATGAAATTTATTACTGAAGGATACTGTTTTCCTTCAAACTTACTAAAAAGGCCTTAAGCTTGGATTCTTTATTACAAATACGATATGGTAGAGTAATTGCCTACTTACTGTCTTTATTTGCTTTGACATCTGTAATAATCTGCAGATTATTGTAACAATATATGACTGGGATATAATATGGAAAAGCACTGTTCTTGGATCTGTTACTGTTCCAGTTGAAAGTGAAGGTCAAACTGGAGCGCTTTGGTACACTTTAGATAGTACATCAGGACAGGTAACATTGTAAATTTATAAATACTGAATAATATGTCAAGATATTAACAACTTCAACTAAAATATTTTCTTCCCCAGGTCTGTCTTCATATTAAAACAACAAAGCTACAAGCAAGTTTTGCCAGGTTATTTATTGCTTTTTGCTAATAAGCCTCATGGTTCTGATTTTTGTTTTTGTCACAATAATTTTGGAACATGGAGGTAAGGTTTCAAATACTGGTTGGCCCATTACGTACTGAACGATATATATTGGTTTGATTGTAGACCGATATTTGACAATATAGGTCAGTACTGGTTTAATTCTTTTTATCCTTATTGATACTGGGCATTAGAAGTTGATATATCGGTGCCCTTGTATGAAATATCATTCTTGTGCTACTTTTTTTCTTTGTTAGTGTAAAACATGGTTCTTGTGTTACTCTTTTTTAGTTTTTTTTAAAAAGAAGATTGCTGGTCTTGAAATTGGTCAATCGCTAGGCATTTTAGCTGATTCTGAACTCTGAACCTCTGTCCTAGCTAGATATGAAAGATATATTGTCTTATCTGCCAAAAATATGTGGTTCAGAGCTTTGAATGGCTATGCTGGAGCTGATGCTCGAAGAAGATTGTCTTTGGATCAACAAGTCCCTACCTTAGTCCATCAAAAACCAGGGCCTCTGCAGACCATATTTGAACTTCCTCCTGATGAGGTGAACTTTTCCATTAATGTAATTGGCTAAATACTTACATTTGACTGAAAGCTATTAACATGAGTCACCTGATGGAGTCTTATTTCTTTTACTCAGGTTGCTGACCATAGTTATTCATGTGCTCTTGAAAGATCTTTTCTGTACCATGGACGTATGTATGTGTCTGCATGGCACATCTGCTTCCACTCCAATGTATTTTCTAAGCAAATAAAGGTTAGCTTACCCACCTTATACATTTGCTTCCAGTTTTTGTGCCGCTAAGCAATTTGTTTTTTCGTACTTCTCTTCATGGTTCTTTGCCTGTTTGATAATTTTGGAATTTATCATCCTTGTGTAAAATGTCTAATCGAACTTACATGGACTAGTTGATTAGTTGGTTTTGGAAATAATAATCCTTGTTTCATTGTTGGTTATAATATTCTTTAAACTCCACAATTTTTTTGCTGGAGGTTTAATCAATTGAAGGCTATATCACTATGCTTCTTAGTTATGTGGATATTTTTGTTTGTCCACAAATGAGCTTATTTCTTACACACTGAATTGGTATTTTGTCATTTGGCTTTAAAATTGAACTTGTTCTATTTGTGTGTAAATGTATCAGTTATTCGTTTGTTATTAGCTTTTCTCTTTGCTACTTGTGAGTAATAATGGCTTTGTAAATGCTATCATAATTGGATGTTTTTGATAATGAATTGGTTGAAAGGCTTCACCACTGAATTATTCCTTTTTAGCTCTTCATGGAAAAATTAAGGTCATATGGTTTTGTCAGAATTAAAGACAATATTGAGAGTGTGTGATAAATCACCTTAATTTACCTATCTCGAAATTAATTGTGAAATTTACCATGATATTAATTATTAAATATCTATCAAATATTTCCAGCTTGATGTAATAGATATGTGGCTTTGGAGTTTGGAGTATTATTGGCAACATTGCAAGGCAACAAGATGCAAATTTTAAATGAAATTGTATGGTCTTTATCAATGCTTAAGCATCTTGGTTTTTGTACAATTTGCAAATGAGGATGAAGAATATGGGGGAAAAATAGATATTAGATAGGATATTCATACTAAAACACTAGCTAAAATTTGATGCATTTCGGAAAATTGTGTAAGTTCGATAAATATAGAGGTCTGGCTTAAACTGAAATTTTTCTCAACTTAGAAGACTAATCTGTTATGTTGGGGTTTCAAGGATTGTAGTTTGAACTTTGAAGTTTGAACCATGTAATGACATCAAATATTAGCTATTGGAGACGCATAATTGTTGTTCAGCAAATATTTTAACATAGTGGCTTTTGCCTATCATGACTGAGCCTTTCATTGTGTAATGTATCACTGGGAAAAAGAAAAATCTAACATCTTTAACAAAGTTAGAAAAGGAGAAAAAACATGATGTAACAGAATGCTAGAAAAATTTCTGGTGTAGATTCCCGAATTCCCCTTTGGCTTCATCTGTTGGTGGTGCTGGTCATGTCTTCCTTTGATTCAGATGAGCAGCAAGGTGGCCGTTGGTGATGAGATTTCATTTTAGACACTTACCCTTTGCATTCGCTCCTTGGTTTTCCTAAGTCTCAAATATATAGGTTATAAAAGGAAAATGAAAAGGACAACCAGTACTTTGTAGCTCAAAATGAACATTTCACACCTTTGATGTGTTGCATTGTTGTTGAGGCTATTACAAACCAATACCATATGAAACCACTGGGTCAAAACACCTGATATGAACTTGAAACGACCTGATCTCACAGAATGTTGATCGAGGAAATGGGGTTGTTGGATGGTGGAAAGCACCAGGTTTTGTTTTGGCTAAACTACTTTGTTTGGTTGCTTTTTTAGGGAATGTATAAAAATCTTTATGCATGCCTCCAATGAAGATGCAATATTTTGTAAGAACTTTATTTACCACCAATGGAATACAAGCAGGAAACATATACATCAAAGCGTCATCTGTTAGCTTGCACCCTCTTTAATAGCTCAGTTACCAATTAACAAAACTGCATAGGAATGAAAACATAAGCACAAGATGTCAAAACCAAGGTTTTGAATAGGAACACAAAAAAATCAAAATTTTGAGCCCAATGGCCAAAATATATTCCATATTATCTCAATAATGAGGTAAACATTTACTAAAAAATTATGAAGTAACCAGCTGCTTGGTTTTCAGCATAAGACCACCAAAGCAGGGCAACACAGGTTATGAGCCACAAGACAGCGGCAGGTATCTTCAAGGCAAACCATCTATGATATTTTAAAATTAATCAAAGCAGCAATAGAACAAAGATCCATAACTTTTATCTCCAAGGAACTAATAGATGAGTAACTTAACAAACCTTTATAACTCAGCTGCAGATCCATTTCCCACAATTATAGCTATTTTTAGTTAAAAGTGAACCAATGCCAATCTGTTCAATCAGCATGATGCATAATTAATTTATAATCCCCACAACATTCTGCATTATCAGGTGCCGTGTGCATTAGGCCACAAGTTGAGTTGTGTTCAACCCACAATACCATTTAGCTAACCTGATCATCTGGTTGGCTTGTTTAAGATTTTGGTTAGTTTAAGATTTCTGGTATCTCAGTTGTGTTGGCTTTTGTAGATTCTATCCATTTCATCTTGGATTGGGTAGTAATGAATGTCATTCCGTGGCAACAGGGTGTACCATACTTTCCTTGGCACATTATGTGACACGTTATGCCAATCATCACATCCTTGTGCCACTTGGCAAATTCCTGTGCTAGTTGGCACTGACCAAAAACTGGCCTAGCCATAACATGCCTGACACAAGTTGGCATGATGCATGCTGATAGTTTTTTGCATGGACATCTCTACCCTTGCCAGTTACCACCTGTGCTTATTTAAATTGATTGGTATGCTGCATATGTAGGACAGTTGTATCATCTTTATAAGGTTTCAAGATATGTCGAATATTGGCAATATTCATATGATTTGTACATGTCCTTTGCTCCTCGAATCTATTTGAACTTAGAAGTGCTTTATGAATTTCTTCTAATCATCTGACTGGTTTTTATGTTTCTTATTAATTTCCATATATGATGATTATAAATCATATATGCTGATGAAGCATAAAAATATACATGTATCAGTTGGTCATGTCCGTATTGTGTTGTGTGCTACTCTTACAAGATGTCATGTTGGTGTCTTTTGTAACATTTTGCTTTTTATCTATATTTCATAGGTTGGTTTATGATAACTCCTAGTCAATTTGATTTCAACCAGAACATAATTTAACCGGACACACATGGTTTAACAATATAAAGTGTATGATATATGTAATATGATTGGGGATCATTTTTATAATTTTGATCTCTTGTTTTTTAGCTACACAACTCGAGTAACCCAACTGAATCTAGTTCTGCTTGATCCAGTTGCTCTTCAACCTGGCCTCACCCAAATTTGATTAAGTTTAAGAATTGAGAATATGCAACACAGTGTCAGTCCGTGTTGGGTTAGGATTTACCTTTACCCTGACCCAACATACTTGAGCTACATCTTCTACATTTTATATGATGCATTATTATGCTATTATTTTATTTGTGGAAAAATAGATTTTTTAATTAAGATTTACTAGCATTTTGAATCTCATGTCCAGTGAAATTTATTGTGTTGTGGACCCAATATTCTTATTTTCTTGAGGATTTACTAGTGTTTTGATTCTCATATCCAGTGAAATTTATTGTGTTCTGGATCCTATTCATATTTTCTTTAGTATCCCAAAACACATTTATGTCTGACAAATTTGTAAAATTTTTACTAACTCTTATGGCAATAGTATCACTGATATTAATTGTAGACTCATACCCTTATGTTATTTTGCTACAATTTCCATTACACACTAATTAACTATAAATAGTTAATTTCTATTCCTAGGTGGTTATTTCTTTTGGAGACATTGCTGAGGTACGTTGGTTATTTTTTGCAACTATGTTTTATATTGTATGTAACTATGTATGCATTCAATTGTCTTTGCTATTAGTATGCAGATACGAAGAAGCCAGCATGCAGTTATCAACCCTGCAATTACAATAATTCTTCGAATGGGAGCTGGTGGACATGGTGTGCCTCCTTTAGGAAGTCCAGATGGTTGGTGATACTCTATATGGCCTTAATTCTTTTTTCATATGCTCTAAAGGTTTCATGTCTTAGGCTTTTGATGTGTACCATCTATGAAATATTTGGAGAACCATCACCTCTTACTTATTTCTTTGGGTACTTATCAAGTATATATATTATCATTCTAGAATGATATGACTGTGACTGCGTAAAGATTATTCTATTTTATACATCTGAGTTGTCCTATATGAAGATAAGTTGTATTCAATGATTTTAGAAAATAGGCTGTTGGAGTATGTAGTGAATGCAATGATTTGTAGGCATGACTAGCAAAAATCTGAAACAAGTGACATTTCGTTTGTCCCATTCCATGCCTTATCTTTTTCCCTATTTTCTCATTTGGTTTCGGGAGAAATTAATGGTAGTTCTATTGCTCTTCGATACCCACAATGTTGGTAAAAGCCCCTTTAGTTAATTAACAACTGAGAATTCTCCTTTACATGCCAAGCCAATGCATCATGGTCGGTTGCTCTTTAGGTAGAGAACATTCAGATTTCCTCAAGGTACTTTTATAATAATTGTTGACTCCTGGAGGAATTCGGCCACTTGAACTAGTTACCACTTGATTGTTAGATAAAGAAACACCATCACAATTATGCTCCAATTCATCTTGGTGTTTCCATGTGTTTCCTGTAAGATTACAATTCTTTATCATATTTTCCCATTTGGTTTCAAAATTTTACACTGATTGATGGATAATTCATCTTGGTGTAAGAGGGTTATCCATTTGAACATTTTTATTTACTGAAAGTTGGATTGTTTAAATTGTTTTAGATTGGTAACATGGACATGCGCTCATAAAAGGCAATAATTTTAAATTCTTTAAATTGTCATCATAATGCACATTCAGACTTGGATTGTAGCATATATTATGCATATACATAGTACAAGAAGTATTCAGTTTTTACTTTTTACAACTAGTATTCTGTTAATGTGGGAGGCTCATGTCTCAGAATGAACAATAAATTTGATTCTATGTGGTATGCTATGAGTCTGTTCTTCATTTCTATGTCAAAATTAGTTATGTTCCAAAAGTCAATGCGTGAGCCTGCATGTACTGCAACGATGCATGAATGACCATGTTTGTAGTATGCATTGCACACAGAACTTTCCTTTTTGTTTGATGTGTCAATTACATGAGTTCTAACTTCTTAGGACCATTTTGGATAATCAAAGTTTCCTCTTTATGGAGTAGCAGTCTAATCATTGAAGTAATATTCTACATGGATTCATCTACTTGAATATAGCTATACTTACCAATGCAAAAATCTTGTTGTATTTCAAATCTGTTAGTTGATTTTCCAATTGTTTATCAAATGAAAGAAAGAATATTATGTGATGATAGAGATTATGGCTACCAAAATACTTATCCAAGTTTTTCCTTTGCTATACCTGTTTGTTTTCTCTCTTATATGCTGTTAGTTGTTCACAATCTTAAATGATGAGTACCTTCTTGAACATCTTATTGCAACTTTTATTTGATTAGTTTTATTTTTTAAGATCCAGGTAGAAATCTAAACTGTTCTGCCATTGTCCATTATGCAGGGAGAGTCAGATACAAGTTTGCATCATTTTGGAACAGAAATCATACTTTAAGAGCTTTGCAACGGACAGATAAGAACTTTCATGCATCAATAGAAGCTGAGAAGAAGGTACTGACCCTTCAACTTAGCTTTCTGGTTCCGCTGGCTTTTTACTTTTATGTTGTATTTTTTCTTAACCCTGAGCAGGAGGTTGTCATTGACTTACTTTGTGTGATTCTTGTGGATAACATAAATTGTGTACTTTTGTGGATCATATGAGTTTTTAATCTAAATATTAAAAAAAAAAATGTAGCTTATAATCGATATTAAAGCGAGTCATGTGGATCTTTAGTCGAGAGTGGTTACATTACTTAGCTTTCTTTTTTCTTTTCATAGCTACCCTCATATTTTTTCCCTTTTAAATCCAAACATCAAGAAGTGGTAACAAGTCGGGTATTTGATAATTATTCCGATACTAGTAACTATTTGATAAATATTAAGTAGTGGTACTTATTCAGATATTCAGAGATTAAGTGTGTCAGATAGGCATGGAGAGATGAAAACCCTCAACCACATTGTTATCTCTACTTTGATGGAAGTCTGTCTAATTGATGTTAAAGATTGGCAAATGTAATTTATTCACCAAAATGTACCTACAGCTATTTGCGAAAAAAACTATAGACATAATTATTCTTATTAAATTCACTCTTTCCATTGCAAAGTTCTAAAATCTTACAAAAGTACTTTTAAGCTGTCAACTCTGGTTTGGTTTTTTTCTATAACATGTATATTTGTGAAAATATAAATGTTAGGAATTACAATTTTCAGGCGGTGAACAGGAGCTTGTAGTTGACTATCTGAAAATCTAGTTGTCAATCCTGATATGACTATTTCTGTGAACAAGTTGCAGCTGCTGTATGATTTTAAATTTTCTTTTTATGCCTTTTAATATGTATATGCTCAATTGTGACAGTGGAAAGCATAAGGGAAGACCTAAAAAGGATGGGATATCAGTTTATGCCAAATTAAGGACTTGTCCAATATAAAACAGCAAATTTGATTGTTGTTTAAGGGAGAAATTACTGGCTTAGAGGTTTACAACAGCGCTAACTTTCTAAAGCAATTTGAACTTTGAAGATCAAGTTGCTTAGTCACTGTGAGAACAAAATGGAAAATATATAGTGAGGTACTGCCAAACATGAAATGTTGTATGTAGTATGTACTAATACCTTTCGGGCATTGTACAATCTCTTCCTGTGCCTGATGACATGCCTTCATGCTTTGGTTGCCACGTCACAAAATTTGGCCTACTCATATGTCGATACATACTGCATGGATTAGCATGGCACATGCTGAGATGACCAATACAAATGCATGTCGAAAATCACGACAATTCATGCAAATAAGAGAGCAAAAGGAAATCAAGTTAGTCGAAAACTATAGAGTTAGTAGCATAGATTATAAAAGAGAGAGAGAGTGTGTAGGTTAGGGAAGAAAGAGCAATTGAAGTTAGGAAGAAAGATGCCTTGCCATTAGCAAAACCTAAACTTCTTCATTGGCATAGACTCCTTTTTTAGTAGATTCAGTGATCGTGCAAGACCTTAATCATGAATCTTACAGTAAGAAAAAAAGCTGTGGGCAAGTTTTCCCCCTTTCTAATATATAATCCTATTAGAACTCCGGAAACTTGCATCTTATTTGCAACATGACTTTTCTAATTGTAACTATTACAAGTTTGATTAAAAAACAATTGGTTTTGTCAAACATCATGTTTTATTTTTAATTTCAACTGTACCAGTCGATACAGATTAGTATTTCAATTGCTTCTAATCCAGTTTGAGATGCTGTTTCTGCCTGGTAAGCTCACTGTGTTGGGCTTATCAGGTGGTAATCCAATCGCCTGATCCTGATACTGCAGTCACTTTTTTATTTTTTTGCAATCCCAATTCTCGATAGCTATATTAGTTGTTCTCTCTCTCTCTCTCTCTCTCTCTCTCTCTACCTTTTCCTTATCCCCCCAGGATAATCAGTCCTGCTGCCTCCTCCCAACATGGCCATCTCCTTTTCCTCCTTTAGTAATCATTGCCACCACCACCTCCTTGTGTTGCTTCCTTGTCCTCCCCTGCCTCTTCCTCTCTCTCTTCTCTGGTCCAGATGATACCAACCAGTTTCCGACCCATACCGACACTCAATGTGCCATTTGGTACTGTTGGTCCAGTTATTGATCGGTATTAAACTTCACTGAGATTTGAAATCTTGCTAGACATCATAATGATGGTTTATAAACTTCTTTCGTATGAAAGACATGTTTACATTTTGATTTGTGGCAGAAAACTTCTCTTATATTTATGGAGTCGATGATGTCTTCTAGTATTCTTTCTTCATAAATTATGATTTGCTTTGAAGTTTGAACGCTATGTCTTAATATCTTAGGATTTCCCATTGTTTATCTATGTCTTTGTTATTTGTGATCCTGCACTTGTTAGTCGTTGGAAGCCAAAACTGTTACAGCTGGCTCTTTGACTTGGAAACACAGGAACGTGCACACAGCAGCTCTGTGAGAGATAGTGGGAGACAAATAGAAGTTCCAAATGAGAGTGTTGTCGAGACTGGAAAGTTCCAAGCTTTTATAAACGAAGAAGTTCTAGTTGGCATAGTCAATGTACACTGGACTCATCCTCCTCTATTATATTCTTTTATTCCAAAGATTTAATAGATTCTGTTAATTGCTTCATTCCAGGAAAATTTCCCCTGCACAGCAGAGGAGTTCTTTTCTGAATTGTTGAATGATGACTCAAAGTTTATTGCTGAATATCGTTCAGCAAGAAAAGATACCAATCTGAGTGTAAGTGAAATATCATTATATAGTTGTCAATCGCTTTGTGGTTCTTTTGAAATTTGAACTATTAGTATTCAATTTACATTTATACTGGGCATAAAAGGGAGCGGCCTAGTGCACAAGTCTCTTGTTAAGTGCAATATGGGGATTGTCAGGACATGCAGCCTTGTCCCTGCAAGCTGTGGGGTTATTTGCATTCTGGTCACCCAGGTTGTGGAAGGAGCAACCTTAATGAGGTGGCAGCTCACTCTATATGCTGGATCTAGTTGTAATTTAACTTTAGTTCCAACTGCATCAATTTTATTGGAAATCATATGAGCTTGCTCTATCAAATGACCATTGTGTAGAACAATAGTTATATGAGAATAATGCATTTTTTATTTTAAGTAACAACGACTGATGTTTCACCCCCTGCCAGCTGTCCTTTATTGGCTGCCCAGTTTTTTACCATGTTTTCTTGTTATTGATGATTTTCATGAAATGCCTACTTGGATAACTCAGGAAACTTTTGGTGTTAATAGTGTCTTTTTCTTTATTGTTACTTCAGTTATAACTTCATCAGAGGCTTAAGCCTTGACCTTTTTCGGTTGAAATCCATTTTTATAACGTCCATAAAAGATTTACTTATTGTCCAGTCTATTGGCCTTGGATTAGTTTTAGCAAGCTTGGAGCAATATAGATCATGGTTGAAGTTACCACCTGCAATGTCGATATCAATGATTTTTTTGTTAATATAAATGAACACAGTAAATTCAGTGGGTCATTTCTAAATGGCAACTCCATATGCCTCGGTGATGATTTTTCTTACTTGAAATAATCAGACATTTTGCTTTTATGTCTTTTGCAGTTGGGCAAGTGGCATGTTGCTGATGAATATGATGGTCAAGTCAGAGAAATAACCTTCAGATCATTGTGCCATAGCCCCATGTGTCCTCCAGACACCGCCATGACAGAGTTACAGCATGTTGTTCTGTCCCCTGATAAGAGAACACTGGTATGTTTGGTTCACTCAATCTCATGTAGTTTCTTTTTATTTTTTAACATTAGCTTCAAATGATTTACCCCAGTTTTATCATTTTTTTCATGCAAGTATGCAAACTCCTTTTATAATTTCAGTTCCTTTTTTGCTTAGGTCTTTGAGACTGTGCAACAGGTGCATGATATTCTATTTGGTTCTAACTTTGAGGTGCGTACTGAATCTCAGCTGTTTTCTTCTTAATGCACTGTGAACAGAAGAGAACTGAGTTCCTTTTTCAGTAAATTATTAGTTTTCTTATCTCTGACGGGGAAACCTATATGCGCAAAGTGGAAATGTTTTTTATGTATGACTTCTGAAAGTCAATTCTCATTAATTATATGGTATTTTCTGAGACCAATTTAATTGGAAGTAGTTATCTTCAGACAACTAAACACATATAGGTATCCTGTTGGGTTCTCTATGATAGAAGGTCAAGTCAGTCAACATATCCAACAAGGTCTTTTTACAAAGACGGAACAATGCCTACTTTATTTGGTCAGAATGTCTGAGGTTTGTCATGGAAGACCTTCATGAGCATTTGGTCTCATATATTAATTGGTATTAAAAGTTTAAAATGGAGTCAACTATGTGGCTTTTATGGATAATTTTGTTTTCAAGATTTTAAATTTTGTTTTGTGACCCGAATTAGTCCCTGGCAAGATCAGTATTGGTCTAATATGCACTGTGCCGTTGTATGGTCGGCCCAATGATAAACAAGGGAGAGAAGAGAAGAGGAGAAGATGAGGTCTATTGATAGTCAACAGCCATGCTTGTGACAGCTATCTAAATTAAGGAAAACATGTCTCAAACCGGATTGGGGGAAATTGCCTGGTACAGGTGCTGGTTCCCTCTCGGCCAGATTATATCTTGTCTGTGCAATATGACCAGTTTTTCAAACTTCGTTGTCCCTTTGTTTTGACAAAATATTGACCTAAGTTAAATTTGTGTTTATTAGCTTTCAGCTGAGGCTATAGAAATTAATGCTTCTATGAGAGCAATTATTCCAAGTTCATTGTACATTACAATTAGTGCAGGAGTTGAAGCCCATGATTTCTGATGTGCCACATGATTTTGTTCTCTACCTAAGATTTACTCCAGTTATAATAATGGACCACAATATAATGCAACGAGTTGCAATATTTGTATCCGGATGAGTGTAAAGATCAATAACCTATCTGATTAGTGCATTACTAGTATATAAAATGACACAGCTACCCATGTCTTCTGATACCATTTAATAAAACAATAAAAAACATGTACTAATATTGTTCCATATGTTTTTGATACTTGGTCAAACCAGTAAGTACCGGTTGGTATGTACTAGTCAGACTGAATTATTATGATCCTGATTTCAATTATATTGTTGTTACAAGCACTTATCAGACATTTGAGAATGGGAAGATGGGTAGTCTTTTGTGATAGAAAGAAACTTCACATTCTTATTTTTTTTCATGTACTAGTTTCAAGATTTTTTGCTGTAGATTTGGACATGATGTTTATCAAACACAATAGATTACATCAATATTTAGGCTGCACAAATGGTGGTCCTTTAAAAACATCTTGAATGTCATGAGAACTAATTGATTAAGCAATTATGGAAGCTGGAAAGGGCAGCTAGAATCTGTCAGGTAAAAAGATTTATGAAGTTGCACACATGGGTCCTTTGGCAATTTAGAATTCATCTATCAGCATGCTTTTGGCTCACTTGGATTATTTGCACAAAGTTGTTGCCAGAAATATTTAGACTGTACTTTTATGGTGGCAAAATATTCATCTTCATGGATTATGAAACTTGTCTTCACTGGTGCTCCCAAGTTCTACTTCTTTGAACTGGCATATATGACACCATAGTGGAATTATTCTAAGTTCTTAAGATCAATTCTCATCACAGGTATTGGTTTAGATGACATTGGACATGCTGGGGTTGACTATACTCGAATCATCCTCTCCATACCACTAAATCCCATCTGGTCCCCAAACCTGAATCCAATAAAAATACAATACCATTCTCAACCTATGTAAAGATTGATTACATCTATTTTTGCCCACCCCACCTGTGTCAAATTTTGGGGTTATATGTAACTATAATGGTATATGTCTTAGTTACATTTGCAATATAATAGAGAAAATTATTTATATGCAATTGTCTGTGCTGGTGTTTCCACAAAGCAGGATGGCTAAGGATGGGATTGGTTTGTTTTAGGATGGCATAACTGATAGTCTGATACTATTCCAGCCCTAGCTGATCCTATTTTTGAAAGTCATGCTCCAACCCTGCCTCATGCCCCCAGTCAAAATTGGTCAAACTTGACCTGTTTACTGGATCAGTCTGGGGCAACATCTCCACCATGACTGGTTAGCCTTAAAATTGCCAAAATATACACTGAGAAAACAGCCATTATATGTTATCTTGACATATTATAGTAATAAATAAACGTCATTGCCCAAGTGTTCTTTTTCATTCAAATTATTTTATTTAAATTTCATTGATGGATGAGACATTTCTGTTCGACAGGCAATTGAAAAACTCCAAATCACATGGCTGGCTTAATGTTAGCACAAATAAGAATCTGTGAATAGACATAGATGGTGCTCATAATTGCTCTGTATTATAATTTAAGTAATTTGGAAGTTATGACAAGTAAAATACATGAGTTTAATATTAAAAAGGCTCCATGTTCATTCAAGCCAAGTTAATTAAAAAGAGGTTTGGAGTTAGGAAGTTTTAGCATGACAGGACCAATTTGAGCAGATGGTCGACCACCTTCTTGTTGTCTTGTAGCAGTTAGCATTTTTGCACTGGCATGCATGTGTGATGATGACGTATGCAGAAATTTATAGTTGTAAGTTACACTGATAGTAGCATGCAACTTGTAACCTTTTGACACCTAAAATATGGTACCTTTGAGTTCATCAGAACACTTTTCATCAGAAAAGTTCATTTTCTTAAGCAGAATATATTGGAAAGGATGCTCTTTTTAACTGAGTTAATTTGTTTTACTGGTTTGGTCCATGCGAGGAATCTTTCGGCTTATCTTGCTTAATAAAATTACATCTTACTGTTGATCTTATTAGGTTTTATCACTAAGTGGACTCTCAACTAGATCTGCAGAATTGTATCTTTGAGATGTAATTTATAATGTATTTCAGGTACATTGTAGGTGGTCAATGAATACAATCTCAGACTCTTCCTGTACTATTGATATCCGAGTTGGTAAATTGCTAGTCGGTGTCTCTATCATTTTCTCTGATTTTCTGCCTTCTTTTGTTGCTGTTTTGCTTCATGCAAAGCCAAAAAATGTTAAAAAAAAAACATAAATGTCTTTTTCAGGTGCACATTTCAAGAAGTGGTGCATCATGCAGTCTAAGATAAAAGCTGGAGCTGTTGAAGAGGCATGTCATCATATTGTGATTTATACTTCCTACTTTCTTGGTTGTGATTCTAGAATAATTTACATTCAATGTTTTTAACTAGAACATTCTGTCTGTGTCCAATGCCCCATCTTGGATTATGATAAGAAGGGTGCAGTGGAATGATTAAACAGAAAAACAACAAGACAAGGGAAAGAAAGGGTATATCAGGCCCCACAGACCATAATTCAAATCATAATTCAATTCGCAATATTCATGATAAAACTGAAATCCTAAATCAAGGCCAATGTGAAAAAAATAACAAATTAATCAAAAGTCAAATCAACTCAAAATTTATGACATCCTAAATCCCTAATATCTCCTAATCAAATTATCATCTCAAAGTCTTCATAAAAAAATACTACATAAATCCCCATAAACTTGAAAAAGTCCCTTCGATTTCGTCAAGTAGACTAAATTTGAAAATTGACTATATGTTTTCTGAAGCTAACTTAATAAATATGAGTGAGCTAAGACTCAACTGTGAGTTTGACCTGCATGAGATTATAGGTAGCCCGACACACTGTGTAGCATATATACTTCAATTTAAATGGTCTGCATTAAATATGAAACTTCTTAAAATGTTCACATAAATGGTTATCATGTGTATTTTACTTTTGGCAACTCTGGTGGCAGGTATTCTTTTTTTTTTGTCGCATTTTGATCTCCAATAATTTATGTAGCCTTGTCTTGACCAATTTTTTGCTGTTTGCCAACCATTCTATTGGAAGTTTGTGCTACTTGTTTATTTTCAACATATATTTGAAGATACATATATTTGTGGTGCAGATTCTTAAGAATAGAAACTTCCACGGTCAGATTTAATTTCTTCCCTGCTAATTTTTTCAATTACTATTAACCTTGCTTAGGAAATAACAGTGGACTTCTTTGTGTAGTTACGATGCAAAGTATTTTGCTACATGAAAGAGTTTCTTGTTTTCCTCCATGGTTTCTCTTCGCCGAATGAATTAAATATGATATGCACATGTTGAAATCAGCACATTGTTCCATTTTGATGTAATCTTTCGTTGCACAGTACAAGAAAGAGGTGGCACAAATGTTAGAGATTGCACGCTCATATCTTGGCAAGGCAGGTTCCAGCCAGGAAAAGGTCGAGGCATCAGAAACTCCATTAGCTCTCAGTTAGTCGAAAGTAATGGGTCAGATAACAGGTCTGCCTACTTACAGAAAATTGCGCCTCTCAGCGGGTTCCATTCTTTGTCATTGTAACTGTAACATGCACAGGAATCTATGCTTTTTGTTCATGCCACCCTTCATGCAAGTGAAATAGTGGTGTCTTCTTTTATACAGATATGAGCAAACTTTTGTATAATGTTGATTTATTATCAAATACAGAGGACTCTTTTTCTTTTCATTTTTTCCCTTACAAAGTGTGACTTCCATCACCGTTTGTCACCCGCGATGCTCAGAAGTTTCTTCAACTGCTGCAGCATGTCATTTGCGGGCATTTTTTGTTGTGAATTGTCTGCTGAGTTGAACCTGTCTGTACAAACAAAACAATTTGAGAAGAATGAGGCTATTGTTGCTGCACTTGCAGATCTATCTAACATGATTGTGGCCGTTTATATGATCAGTACAGTCTAAAGCTATCATCATCGCTTTTCTTCTTGACGGATTAATTGTACCTGCAGGAAAATTCAACGAGATGTCTTCCCTTTCCTGCTTTCCGGTAAAGCTCTCATTCTGTGATCGATGGAATATTTGCTGTCTTTTGGGTCACACGGGGCAGCTATACTCTTCTTGGAGGTAAAGTCCATTTAATTACAATTACGCTGGTAATTACGTCCGACGACAAACGGTGGTAAGCACTTAAGGGGGAGACTTTTATTCGCTGGTCAATATTTCATGTCGCATATTATCTAAAAGACAAAAATAAATATAGTTATAAAATATTTTCGGATCACTTTTCAGATTTTTTTTAAAATAAAATAAATTAATAGTTTAATGGTGTGATCGTCGATGACGAGCTCACGTCAATCTCTCTGAGCTTAAGTTAGGATGAAGATGAAAAATGGAGCGTTGGGCCAATAGTAATCAATCTTGGTAATAGTAAATTGTTGGGTTTTATAGTAGGTTGTGCCAAAATAAATATTTTATTTTACAGCATGGGTAGAATATTTTCTCCTAAATTCTTCTTGTTGATGAAATGATGTGCCATGGCTGATGAGTTAGCACGGCCTGGTCCACGGGTCGATGTAGGGAGTCTTCGACCTCGGCAACCAGCTCAGCCGATCACGCCCTCAGGATGGGACGTTGGTTGGCGGCTCTCCGTCGGGATGCTAGTTGATGACTTTTCCGTTGGGATGGTCGTAGCTCGGGGGGTGATCGCTTTCCTGCACAGAAGGCCTTCGTCGGGTGGTTGCCGACTTTGGCCTCTCAACGAGTAAGTCAGTGCTTGGTTGGTTTATTTTTTGCCTTTTCTTCGGCCAGATGTCGACATGAGATTTTTATATCACTATACGAGGGTTGACCGTACGCATTGCGTTGATTGTGATGATGGCTAGGCTAGGCATGGTGGTGACGGTGGTGTTAACTGTTGATCGTACGAGAGACATTCAACGAGTAAGTTAGTGCTCCTTTTGCTGACTTGGCGATGGCTAGATGTGGCGTTGATTGTGACGTAACTTGGACCCAAAATATACCTTATCAATACTCACGAGACTGTTAATGCTGTCCGACCCTCGTCTTTGTTATTGACTAAGCAATCCCATCTCTTCAACGTTCACGAAGATTAACGGCTATTATCTTGTGGCTTGTATTATCTTTGGTGGAGTGCCCAATCCCATCTCTTCAACGTTCTAAGGTGCAAAGCTGAATCGCAGTTGACAGCGTGATTGACTAAGTGAATATTCTGTAGCATCCCAACCCGACCCGTCCACGAGGGTTTGTATCGCTGCGTTAAAGGGACCACAATTTGTAAGGGTATTGTTGTCAATAGGTCGACATCAGGAATTAGGGTTTTGTCGTCGCCGTATATAAGCCAAGCCAACACTCTTCTCCTCTGGTTCTAGGGTTTCCAGTAAGGGGGGTGCAAGCGGCGGCCAGCCTTTTCCTTCGGAAACCCATCAAGATGGTAACTTTCTTACCCGCTTGGCATCTAATGTTGGTGTACTGATTCTCACGACGTATGGAATTAATGTTTCTGTGTGTGTGTGTGTTCTGTTGATTCATCCGGTGATTCGATGCCTGGGGCGGTTCTTTTTATCTAAGGTGGTAGTCTCTCGTTCGATTGTTCTTTATGCAGTTGGCTTTAGAGTTCCCTTTTCGAATCCGTCATTTGATGCTAAGATCTACGCGTTTTTGCTTCCCTTTTTTCGTTCCGTTGTATACAAAGATATCCTCTTTTCTTTTTTGCTTGCAAGTTGCTCTTTTTGCCGATATCCACTTGCGTTTGTGTTAGCTACTTCAAGCCAAAAATGTGATTTTTTTTTTTAATAATTTGTGGATGTTCTCAGCCGAAGCAGATTCATGAGATTAAGGATTTTCTCCTCACTGCGAGGAGGAAAGATGCCCGTTCGGTGAAAATAAAGAGGAGCAAGGATGTCGTCAAGTTCAAGGTCCGCTGTTCCAAGTACCTGTACACGCTGTGCGTTTTTGACTCGGAGAAGGCAGACAAGTTGAAGCAATCTCTTCCTCCAGGTATGTGGTGGTGTTTTCAATGTCTCTCGCATGTTTCACAGCAGCAGATGATGCTCGGAGAGTGTATGAAATTTCTCCTTTTTCGAACTGGTGGATGTGGAAAGATGCTTCTGTGCTCGTACGCATTAGAATCCATTTCTCTGTGTGCTACTATTCTCGCTTTATCGCCGGGCCTTCTTGGACACCTGCAAACTATAATTACTCGATTTTCCCTCGTTCTGCATTAATCCTATGCATAATTTTTTACCAAGACAATCATGCATGTCTAGTAACACTAGACATGCATCTCGGCCTTTCCTTTCTCTACTATTTTCTTGAGCTGCCGGTAACAACTGTATCGATGATATGGTTGAGAACACTGAAGTGTTCTTAGAGCCATCACACATTCATTCAGATACATGTTACTGAATGACGATGTCGCTGGTGCAGCTCATCAGCATCCTTCCGGAGAACTCCAGGGCAATTTTCTGTTCTTTATCAAGCATACTTTGACTCTAGATACATGTAAAACTTTATCAAGCTATGCCATCACACTTTCATTCAGATTCTGAATCAGAATATTCTTAATGTTGGAAGCACTAGTCAGTCGTTGGGTAGGACTCCCAGTATGGATAATTTCACCTCTTATAGAGACTTTATAAAATGTTTTAGCAAAGAGATTATAGATCAGCTAACATCAGGGTGCTATTCTTCCATCCTTGCTGAAGTCACATGGGATAGTTCACCAAAAACTAGAAAGATTTTGTGTGAATATGTCTGGGTTCATGTCTATATTTTTATTGAAGGGTTGAATCTCTGGTTGTGTGCCTCAGGCAAGTATTGTTCTCAACCAAATATATTATATACACACACCTGTGCCATGATCATGGAGAAAGAGCAATAACTACAGGTGTAATTGAAACTTCATTACATTTATGGTTTCTGCTAAGCAGCAGAGGAAAAAAAATGCAAAGTAGAACAGGGGAGATTTGTTTACTAGCTGATTGTTTTCTTTTTTGATGAATCAAGAAAACCATTTATACGTAGGTCCAGCCTTTGCTTTCTGAAGAAAGTTTTTGTTGTGATAGTGTGCTATATGTCTTGTTTAATTAATTACAGGTCCTTTACCTCGTGATCCATTCACCAATGATCTCTTGGAGATGCTTCGAAATTAATAAGTTGGGTGTAATGTTGCAGGTCTGAGCGTCCAAGAAGTATGAAGTCGAAGATACCATCTTGCCGTGCCGAGGAGGTTTCTTATCAGTTTCTGATTTTATTTCTCATGTTTCCCCAAGTTAAGACTTGAATTTGTAATCTTGAAATCAACTAATTATGTACTCTGAATGTTCCATCGGCCATTTTATTTAATTTAATCTGAAATTTTGGTATTTGGTTTACTTTCATGTGTTGCTTATTTTTCGGTGTGGGTGTGTTTGTGTGATGCATGCTATAAGCAGTCACAGAAGTTGGTTTGGTTTAAATCCGAAGGTGTATGTTTCGTTGTTGTATCGAATCCATGGCTGTGATTTGACAATCAAATTCTGGGAACAATCGAGACTGGATAAGCTGTCGGTTCAGCTATTCTCCTGTTTCCTCGTTTGAAGGTTGGCTTCTTCACCGGATTGGTACCATCTTGTTTAATGCTGGCCGCCGTCTTCCTAGTATCCCAGCCTGTAAACACAGGGCAGCAACCTCTTCCTTTTTCCTGGTCAGAGTTTTCCATCTCACCGGTAAGGAAACATTACACACAGATGATATCGTGTCGGCCGGCTTTCTTAATGGGTTGGGAACGATCATCGAAGAAAAGTGTGATACGAGCGTGCAAATGTTTTGGCCTCTCGTGTGTTACCTCTCTCTGTTGCACCTGTGGGGGGGTGCGGCACTTTGTGCAAGGTTGGAGATACTTGAGGTCTGCAATTTCACGACCGTGACTTAAATTTGGACAGATATAGAGAACAAGGAAGGATGGAGTATGAGTGCACGCTCAAACACCCAGGCGGATCTGCCTGTGCACTTCCTTCCAAAGAGTGTGTGTGTGTGTCTCTCTCTCTCTCTGTGTTGTTTGTCTGTCTGTTGGAAATCATCGACCGGGAATCGACCTTTTCGGTGTGTGTGTGTCCTCCTTTGTCTTGTCTACAGCTACTAAACACCCTTTTGCATGCATGCATCCATGTTTCCGTCTACCACTGGCTGGGAAAGTTGCCGAGGCACGAAACTTAATCGGTGAGGGAGTTGAGGTATGTGCATTGACTCGGTCAAAACAAAAAATCCAACATCCATATATAATTAACTAATAATGGTATTATTTATGGAGGATTAAGTATCAAAGTCAACTCCGATACAATTCCTCCCATGCATCCTTAAGAGCGGCGAATCACAACTTGGCACCAAAGGCAAAGGTACCCACAACCTGAACATAAAGCAGGAATCGTGAAGTTACTAAGACCACATCTATCTATCTATCGATGGACACGAGTAAAAGAAATCACAACCATTTTATCTCGATAAACTTATGAGCTTTTGATTCGTCTATTTCTCAACGAATGTGAAACTAAATCCTCATCGATTGAGATGTAATTAGTTGAAAAAATAAGTATTGGGTGAGCTATAAATACTTGACAAAACAAAGGTGTCTGATTAAGTTACTTGATAAAAGGGTGATCTGTACTCCTCCATGTCAAATTATATTTATCTTTACGAGTACTATAATAAAGTTGGTAACCAATTAGGTATGAGATTAATTAGTAATTATTGGTTTTGTTAAGAGGTGTATCAAACTCAATCATCGACTCAATTAAAATAATATTCATGGCATCTGGTACTGTGTTCTTGGTCCAGCTACCCACCCCTATCTATCATAAAAGAATACAGTGTAACCATACAAAATAAGAGAGAGAGAGAGAGAGATGCGTCCACTGGGAAAGTGCAGTCCAATGCTTGCGTATACATTCCAACGAAGCACAATATTTTTTTATGAGGTTTCACATATGTATCCTTTCGAAGGTTTACAAGAAAGAGTATATTTGACCCCCTTCAAATTTTAATATATATATATATATATATATATATATATATATATATCTTCAAACATTTTTCGTATATATTTGACCCTAACACTTTTCGATGATTAATTTGGCTTCTCATTTCTAGGACTTCAATTTAGGATGATGAATCTAAATTTGAGGATCATCTCAAATATATAGAATATTTTTAAGGATTATTTATAATGATTTGAGGATCAAAATCATTACGACGAGGATCAATCGATAGAGATTTATTTCCTATATTACATCCTTTTGAGTTTATATAAAAATAGTTAAATGTGAAGGGGTGTACGTGCAAATTTTCTTTAGAAAAGATCCCATCACTCTCTGGTGAGCTGACCGCTGACGGTAACCGCCAACGCCACCGCATCCATCGGAGGCATCGACCACCGCTGAGACGCCACGCAATCGATTCCACATGACGTAATCAAAACCCCTAATTATTCCCACCTAATGCCAATCGCCCTCAAAATTACTACGAGTCACAAACTCTTCTTCTTCTTCTTCTTCTGCCTCCCTTTTAATGATGATGATGTAGAAGAAATAAATTGTTCGTCCGACGAGAAAACGAAGCACAAGCGAAGAACAAATTGCAGTACATCAAATCAGAGCAAATGAGCTTAATAATCATACGATCGAAGCCTTCGAAACTGATATCTCAACAAACATAGTTTGGTACTTTTCTCTATCTCATCCTTCTCTTTTTTCTCTTCCTTGGGTTGTAATCGATATAAAAAACAGGTTTTAATTGGAATCTCACATCTCATCAAGTTATATTCCTCGAATATGATTTAGAAAATCGAATTTTCTTATGCTTTCTCCTCTTTAGATTGTTATTAGCGAATGTGAGATTAAAAAAACAGAAACAGGTTCAGAAAAACCTTTGAGTCGCGTCAGTCTTCGGCCGCAGACCTCCCCACCAATCACACTGCTCCTCAAATACAGTAGAGAGAGAGCGAGAGAGAGAGAGACTTTACCTCTGTCGAAGGCTGGTCGCGTCGTGTGTCCAGGGCGCACTGCTTTACCCCTGTTCTCGGTTGCTTATTCGGGGATGTGATCGATCATAGACCGGCTTCTTTGCGGTACGAGAGAGCGGACTACTTCCACTAAAAAGGTCCTCCCTTTGGTCGTATCAGCGGGGGATCGGAGCTCCCTTGTCACCCCATTTTCCTCTTTGAAAGACTGTGCGCCAAGGATTCGTATCTACGCCCTTCTTGAACCGGAAACCGGGAGATTCATCGGTTCCTCAGCAAGAAGATTGGGAAAGGAGGCGCTTTTGCTGGTCCATCACCGGCCCCTGGGCTCCCGGCGTGCGAGCTTTCCGCCAGAGTTTGTACAAAGGTTGGCTTTGTTGGGGCTGCGGCCATTTTTTCCCTTTTCGGATCAGTGAAATGACGAAAAGGAAGGTTTTCTTTTCCTTTGTTGATTGACTTGAATGAGGGTTTCGTCCTTGAGATCTATAAAGATCCATCTTTTTTGTCGTTGGATTTGGGATAAAGATGTTGAACTTGTTGAAAGATCGCATCTTTTTCATCCGGTCATCTTACAATACAGAGTTGTTGATCCGTTAGAGACGGATTTTGATTGTCCTTTTGGATCTCAAGAGCCAGCTTGCGCAATTTTTTACCTCTTTGATCGGTTTCATTGTGGAAAACTGTCTTCCTTTGCCCCTCACCATCTCGTGGTTGGCAGTTTTAGTCTGTATCTGCCTCGATTTGAAGTTTTCTTCTATGCTTCTTGTTGTATTAGGGCTACTCTCGCATGGCTGTTCTATGGGAAATTAACTTCATCTCTCCGTTGCGTGATTCATTGATCCGTGGATGCTCATCGTGTGGTCTATCCTAAATGATTTTGCTTTCCGGGCACTTCACTTTGTTGTTGAAGTCTGTGGTGGTCAATGTCTAAACTCACTGCACAAGATTAATTTTCTGGTCTGGCCTCTTTTGGCAACTCTGCTTACAGCCTGCCTATTTCATTTCATTTGAAGTCTGCACATCTAGTTCATTGACTATTTCTATTAATTCCAAGCCTGCACATCTTGTTCCTTGATTGAAATGTCTGGATTTACTTCCTATTTAAAACTTCAAAGTTCTGACCTCTGAAGTTTTATGTCCGAAATCTTTTGTTCCAAGTCACAATGCAAGCATTTGGTAGAATTTGCTGACGAATCACTTTTCATTACTATGGAAACCCTGCCACCGATAACCTTGTTCTCATATTGTAGTTGTAAGATATGATCTTCTCACGGTATGAAATCCCAGTTTCAGCATTCCAACATCTCAAATTCGTTGTTTATTGGTTGTATATCTGTGTTTGTTGTGATTAATACCTGATTTTCTTTGTCGGAAAAACATATCGGGAATGTATTATTGAGAAGTTTTTTGTTTGCAAATAATTCTCCAACAAAATATGCAAGAACTGAACTTGATTGATTTTTGTAGGTTCTGGTTTGTGTTATGTTTTTGTGCAGCCATTACATAACCAATACTCATGCGGCTGCTTTAGAATATCAGCACCTTGTGCAGCATAAAATGGTTTTCTGTGGTGGTAATTCGATAGCAAAGAGAATATATAAGTTGAATCTGCATTGTTCTCCAAGCTTGATCAATTTTTCTATACATGCATGAGAATAACCGACAAGCCAGCAATAGTCTCTATTCGTAATCACATGACTATTTTTGTGTATTAAAATTTTCTCTCCTTTCTTGCAGACTAATGTGCTTGAGGATTGCAGCAAATGGCTTCATTGGTCCCAGGTATCCTCATCAAGCTCCTCCAGCACATGAACACTGATGTTAAGGTTGCTGGAGAGCATCGGTCATCCCTCCTCCAGGTTGTGAGCATTGTTCCTGCTCTTGCTGGGAGTGATATCTTCACCAACCAAGGATTTTATCTTAAGGTGTCTGATTCTTCCCATGCAACATATGTTTCCCTGCCTGATGAGCACAATGACCTCATCTTAAGTGATAAGATCCAACTAGGTCAGTTCATTCATGTCGACCGCCTTGAGGCAGGCTCCCCTGTGCCCATCCTTAAAGGTGTGAGGCCACTTCCTGGTCGTCACCCTTGTGTTGGGAACCCCGAGGATCTCGTTGCCACCAATTCTCTTGGTTTCCTTGATGCAGAGAAACCAAAGCCATCCAGTGACTCGAAGCATAACAACAGCACATCTTCAGAAAATGAAAAGAGCAAGCTGGGGACCTCTAAGCTAACTATTAAAACACAGGATGTGGACAAGAAAAAGTCTTCACTTAGCAAGTCAAGCTCTTTTCTCTCAAAGCAAGCACAGGATGTGGACAAGAAAAAGTCTTCACTTAGTAGGTCAAGCTCTTTACTCTCAAAGCAAGCATGCAATGGCAAATTGGAGGAGGACACTGTTAAATCAAGATCAATGAATTCACGGTCGATACCTTCATCACCAACCAGTGTCTATTCTTTGCCTGCATCATTTGAGAAGTTCTCCAATGAAATAAAGAAGCAAGCACGAGCCAAGGGCCTAAAGAAGCCGGCATCACCAAGAGTTGGTCTGTTAGAGAAGGCAGCCTCTGTCTTGAAAGTAACCACCGCTGGTAGGAAGTCTTCTGCTGGGAACTTGTTAGGAGATTTGGTACCAAGCATCGAGTTAGGACCCAAGGCTTTGAGAAAAAGCTGGGAGGGGAATCTGGAGTTCAAGGGTAGAGATTGTTCTACCTTGAAAGCAACCAAACTTGACACAAAATCTGAATCTAGGAGCACCACCGTGAGTTTATTTCTGAATTGATCCTAATTGATCTCTCTCTATATATTTGTGTTTATATATCTCGGTTGCTATTATTCTATAGAACATTGTGGATTTATTAAAGCTAGTCGGCATGTCTGATTTTTTCCTTGTTTCTTTTTCGTGGAAATAAGCACGTTAATGGCTAGTTTAATAGAAAAAAATTCTAATATTTTGATTGTGAAAAGCTCTCTTGTTATGTTGTTCTCATGATTGTAGAAACTTTATATACTATTAATAAGTATCTGATTCATTCTCTATGGGAAACAGGTGGACTTTTGAAGTGGAACTTTTGTTGAGTTACAAAGTCAAATTAATCAAGGCAATCTTGCAGATTTTTTTTCGTTGTACAATGAAAGCAAACTTGCAGATGCTTTTTTTTAGAAAAAAGTGTGCAATTAGATACATACAGTTCCAAGATATGAATATCAATCTGTGCACCACTATATCACCCAAACATAAGAACAGAGAAGTTAGACTTATTTATTTTCAGCACATTTATAATGGATCTTTAGAAGCCAAGTATGAACTGTATTGCACTCGGGTGTCATAGCATTTACTTTTTCTAACTTGCAGGCTCCTCGACAGAAGCCATTGACAAATGACAAACTGTTACCTAAGGAGGATAGCAAGATTCAGTCTCCCATGAAGAAAAACACTGCAAGTGCTGCTGCAGATGATTCTGATAAATCCACTAAACAGCGACCTGCTGCTGTAAAGAAGTCTTCAGAGATCACTCACAGTCTAAATTTTGCTAACTTAGTCAAAGTTGCTCCTAACAGAAAATGGACAGATGGTAGTGTCTCATGGCAACCAGTTCCATCATCTCTTGCAAAACTAGGAAAGGTATGAATGATGTTATTATGTGATCTGACAAAACTAGATTCGTTATTTAAGTTGTTAAGATTGTTCTGTAGTTTGTCTAAGTTTCTAAAAAATCATCCTTTTTCTGTCTTCATTGTTGTATGTAACTAGTGGTTAGCTTTGTCTTAGACCGTTTGAATCTGAATATGTTCCTTGTAGCTTCACTATATTCTAAAGGAGCTAAGCTAGCCATACACAAAAAATATTGCTGGTACATATTTGTGTTGGCATCTACGTGGAGATGCAGACTGTGCTATTGTGAAACTGCAATCCATGGTTCACATAGGTTTCATATGACACCCGTAAGTGCCACTTGGCACAATGTATGTACCAGCCGTAGGCTGACACATCAAGCATTCCTTCTGTGTAACCATGTCTCTATGATTTACAGAGTAAAAGGATCTTGGTTATGCTATGTGGTGGTGACCTGGACTAACAGATCATTTGTAAATTTTTAGGGGCTTTTGAAGTACAGGGATGCAGCACAACTGGCTGCCGTTGAGGCTATGCAAGAGGCTTCTGCATCAGAGACCTTGATTCGGTGCTTGAGGTATTACCATTAGAAGTTATTTGTCATAACTTTTATCGTGCAGCCATCTATGTATTGGTTGTCAAGATCTCTGCATATCATAGGATCTTTCATGGCGTGCTACGTGAATTTCTACTTGTAGATTCTTTTATTCACCTTGATCTAATTTTGTATCCTTGATAGATAGAGGCTGTCCACGATATTCTTGTCTTAATTTGAGGCATCTGACTCTTTTAACATAACCTTCTTGTGATAGAATGCCTCCCATTTTACACGTTCGAGTTTCTACATGATAATTATCTTTTGATGATCTGCTTTGTCCAGTACAAGTTATATCCCTTGACAATTACCTGATCTAAAACTATAACTGCTTCATCAGCTTTGCTGTGAAAATTTCTCAAGCAAAAGTTCATCTTAAAAATATTCTTTGTCATGTACATTTTTGTTTTACATTTAGCTATCAGATTTTTGTGAACTGACATCCATGCAATAGTAAATTTGCTTGGCACCTTCCAATCTATGAGGATATTTGAGTTTTGTTTTATGGCACTGACACTAGCTTGTTGGTGATCATATTTGTGGAGTCTGTATATAGAATTTTCTCATGAAGATTGGACACCATGCATTGTTCTTTTTCTTGCACTGCTAGTGACTGTAAGTCTCTGCCCTGTGACTAAATTCAAATAAATATTTCAACTATTTCTCTTTTTTTTTGTTCACAAAAAAACTGGTGCAAGATTGCTTTATTGTGTTAGCACAAAATGCTATTGAATGCTTAGTAGGCTGAAGTTTTCCTGCTATTATCATCTATGTTATTCTCGATAGTAGGATAACCTTTGAGTGAAAATTGTCAGTCTAACTGGCTTCTACATACATCATTTAAAATTCTCAGGAGAGTTTTAGAATCCCTTGGACCATAATTAATCCCTGTCATAATTAGATACTGCAGAATTAGGGGAGCTTAGTGTGATTTCGGGAGAGTGAATGAATCCAGATTAGATGTGGCAGGAGTGACAGAAAACTGAGTGAGGATCAATTAGAATAATGAGTGGAAATATATATAGTCACCTTGAAAGCTCAATTGTCGAAAATGGTTCATCTCACGGAAACTTTTGGAAAAAGAACTGATCTTTTGTTTTTGTAATCTGAATCTTTGCATCGTTAACATCCAATATCTTCTTCTGTGTCCTGCAAGTTGCTAGATTTTCCACAGATTTTGTGTTCTGGATATCTCCAAACTGATACTTTTGTGTTTTTTTGTTTTTCCCCTGCGAAGTGGCACAGATGAGTTTTGCGTTGAACTGACGTTGATTACTTGTTTGTTCTGTCACAGTATGTATGCTGAGCTAAGCACCACGTCCAAGGAGGACAACCCGCAGCCGGCCGTGGAGCACTTCCTCGCCCTCCACTCCTCACTCTCTCGTGCCGCCACGGTCACCGACTCCCTCTCCAAGACCAAATCCCGGAGCCTGGCAGCAACCTCACCGGAGACGCTCCCGGGCGTCGACCCAATCCCGGAAGAAGTCCTGAGAGCCTCAGCTGACAGCCGACGCCGCGCCACCTCCTGGGTCAGCGCTGCCCTCGCCACCGACCTCTCCCCCTTCTCTCTCTACGACCACAAGCCCTCACCTGCCTCCGCTGCGTCATCGGCGGTGGTGGTCCTCGAGGGTTCATCCAAGACTGCGGTCGCTTCCTCGAAAGTCTCCCATCAGTCGAAATCCAGGTCGTCCCCGGCGTTGGCGTCGGCGACCAGGGGGAAGGCGCGGGGAGCGGCGCCTCCGTCGCCGCCTCCGGAGTGGCAGCGCGGCGGAGGGCTGGAGGAGGGGGCGGCGCTGGCACGGGCGTTGGAGGGGGAGGCCCAGGTATGGTTCCTGGGGTTCGTGGAGAGGTTCCTCGACACCGACGCGGCCGCGCCGGGGCCGTCCGACCGGGAGCAGGTGGCCGCGATGCTGTCCCAGCTGAAGAGGGTGAACGACTGGCTGGAGGCGATCGGCCGCCGGCGAAGCGAAGGGGAGGCCGATTCGGAGCCGGAGGACGGCGAGGGTCCTGGCGAAGGCGTGCCGACGGAGACGGTCGAGCGGCTTAGGAAAAAGATCTACGAGTACCTGCTTACCCACGTCGAGTCCGCCGCCGTCGCGCTTGGCGGCGGGGTCCAGCTCTCGGCGCCACAGCCACCGGCGAGCGCAGGCCGGCCGGGTCGAAGGGGATGACAGATATGGGACTGCACGAATCACGAAGCAGGCGACGGCCGGGACTTGTTGAGTTACCGGACTACGTTTCAGGATCCTATTGCCTGGAAATGCTGTTGCGTGATCTAACCGATTCCATGACCCAGCATCTGATCCCTCGAGTGGAGCATCCTAAGGGTGTGTAATAGAGTCGATTCTTTGCTAGTCTATCGTTTAATTTCTCGTGGAAGACCCCAAGCATATGGTGGTGTTTAACTCTCTGGTTGCCTGTGCTGCTGAACTAATTGTACTTACCGGTGACGAACGATTTGGAGGTAGTCAGCCGATTACCATGACACGTACAGATCGATATTGCAATCGAATTAATGAAGTTTTGTTCTAGCTGAGCATGCTTTAGATTTCAGCAAAAAAAGAATTGATATCTGGAGACGTTCCGATGGATGGAAAAGGGTGTGGTTTCTTCAAACAAGTCGTAGTTCTGTGCGTGCAAAACACGTACAATGAATTAATTAATACGAAGACGAAGATAATAGGCAGTAAGACTTAAGTTTTCCTCTCGACCACGTGACCGGAACATACGGGCCGGTTATTGGTTCTTACGGCCCAAATTGTTATGGGCTCCAAAATTCCAGATGTTGAACCTCAAAACGGGTCACCGTGAAAGCGCTCGAAACCCGTCACGCACCTATAAAACCGTAAAACCCTATCGGTTTCGTGTTTTCTTCGACTCCTCGCTGCAGAAACCCCAATCCTCGCCAGGGGCTTCGCCACCCATGGCGGCGCCGACTCCACTGGCCCTTAAGCGGAGCTACCGCTGCGTGTCGTCGCTGCAGCAATTCTACAGCGGCGGCCCTTTCGCCGTGTCCTCCGACGGCGCCTCCCTCGCTTGCGCTTGCGGCGACGAGATAAAGATCGTGAACTCCTCCGATGCCTGCGTACTGGCGAGCCTTGGCTGTGATTCAGAGTCTGTTACCGCCTTCACCTTCAGCCCCGATGGCTGCTTTCTCTTCTCCGCAGGCCACAGCCGACTGATCCGGGTTTGGGATCTTTCCTCCCGGAAGTGCGTTCGTTCTTGGAAGGTACGTAGGAACAATAGGATGCACCGATGAAAGCTAATAAAGCTCGACTTTTCATCCTTCTAGGTTTTTAATACAAGAAACAAAATGTTCACAAATTTAAGTTTGAAATTTTGAAAGCATCTTTGATCCTTATCGTAGAGAAACTAAAATTTGGAAATTTGTGGTTTTGGTCAGATATGACTCCCTTGTTTTTCATTTTTTAAACTAACTTAGGGATGCATATCACATCGTGCTCTTTTTCATTTTCTCTGAAAGGTCTGATCTTTTTTTCTGCAGATTTCTCATTTCAACGACTTGTACTCTGTCTCTCTTTGATTTTTTTTTTTTTTGTGGAGTCGTGTCCTCTTAAGAAGGATGATTCTGGGAATAACTGTTTAAACTTTTTTTTTTCCAAAACTGTTTAATCTTTTATATGTGGTTCCCTACAGCTCTGATAGACAAATCATGAGTAGTCTATTGGATGATTAATGGAGAAAGTGAAAAAAAAGCATCATTCAACCTCTACTATCAAAATTTGCCTATTTAGTAATCTAATTGATAATTATGTTGGACCATGTCCTTATCATTTATTAAATTTTTTGAGTTCAAATTTATCACATGGAAAAAAATAAGTGGTCAATTTTTTGTGAGCAGGGCCATGATGGTCCAGCTATGACCATGGCATGCCATTCTTCTGGTGGTTTGCTAGCAACAGGAGGAGCAGATAGAAAGGTTTGTGTTTGGGATGTAGATGGCGGTTTTTGCACGCATTTCTTCAAAGGTCACCAGGGAGTTGTGACATGCATCAAGTTCCACACCGACCCAAACCGGTTACTTGTAAGATTTACAATACATTCTTTTTCTATGTTCTTGCCTTAAAATCTATCAGTTGCTGCTAATAGTAAACCATGGTTTCCTAAATCTTTTCTCTTAACAAATTCATCAAGTTAGCTAGCGTAAACCATAATTTTTCATCAGTTGTTTCTTTGAATAGAAATGCTTAAAAGCTCTCAACTGCTCTTAAATTACATGGTCTACGTAGATTGCTTTATAGGAAACCTTGAAATTGTGAGGGTTATTCTCCAATCTTCGTAACATTTTTCATAATAAGTGAAGAGTTTATTCTTTGTTTGAGAGCAACAAGTGACAATCATCGGTCTCTCCATGGAGTATGATGAGAGGCGGTTATGTTCAAGGAGTATAAGTGTAGTTGCATCTAACGTTTGTTTATACTATCTTGTTATTTATCTGTCCTGGGTGGAGCAACAGTTTCTACTTTGTACAAGTTGAGAAACATCAGCCTTTTAATATACCAATGTGAAGAAGTTAAGGGACTTAGGGGAGTTAGTGGAAGCATGTTGTAGTTAGTGTTGTTAAAGCCACTAGATGCTATGCAAGGTGCTTGCCAAGTTTCCAAAATGCTTGAGGTGTTAGGTGCTCGTGCGAGCTAAGCAAGGTGCCTACCTTAAAAAAACAATGAGAAAATATAGTTAAGGATAAAGGTAATAATTAGAAAATGAATTCAATCAAACAACTAAAGAGCCATGTTAGATAAGATTGAGAGTATGGTTATATACAATACAAAACTGTAAGTATGATTGCAATGGAAGGAGCAAGATTTTGATTGTCACTACAACCACTTCTTCTAACTAGGTGCAAAAAATTATGCAAAGTTTAAGTGGACTATACTGAACCATGCCCCATTTGGGTGTGATTCATGCTTGAGTCGTGCATAATCCTGCTCGGGCGGCATGTGGATTCAGGCTTATGTTGTGTGTGATTCATGGCTTGGGTGAGCCGAGTCGACACTACACTTAAGACACCCGTGCCTGGTCTGGAGAGGCTTGAGGTGCTCGAGCCTTGCCCTACCTTGCTCGAGCTCTTAGGCAGGTGCCCAATCACCTTTTGGCAACATTGGTCTTAACGTGTTCTTTCCATTCTTGAATTCTGTCAATGCATGTTATGGAATAATCTTTTTTGGAAGAAAGTTGATGTAGTTATCTTGTTAAGAAATAACTTGCAATTGATCGGAAAAATGAAGTGGTCTATAGCAAGGAAAAATGAAGCATGACTCTTTTTTAACACCCATCCATTTTTTGTATTGTCGGTAGAAGTTTGAATGATGATCATATTCAACTTATAGCTTGATGCTATGCAGAATATTCTATGGGTCCCAGTATACTCTCGATGTGGATGATAGCCTCCATACAATGTTTATCTGTTAATTCACATTCTCCTTAACAAGAGGCTTACTATTTATCAACTGAACATTGCAATATGATGATCTTGATTCTATTTTTACCTCCTTAAAATGTGTTTGAATCTTTCATGTGTTGATCATTCTGTGCTGGATATACCAGCTATTCTCAGGTAGTGATGATGCCAGTGTTCGAGTTTGGAATCTTGAATCTAAAAAGTGTGTTGCAGTGCTGGAAAAACATTTCTCACCAGTGACTTCATTGGCATTATCTGAAGATGGCCAAATTTTACTGAGTGCTGGAAGAGATAAGGTATGATCTAAACTTCAAAATTATTGTCCTTGATTTTAATTGTATTAAAATCTTAATATTGATTTTGCTGCTTTGATTACCGCAGGTCTATCTTAGGCAATTCATTTGCAAAGATAATTTTCACTTTAAAAAATCAACATGATTCATGTTGGAGAATTATACCTTGTTTATAATTTTTTGGTGTGAGGAACTCATTTATTCTTTTGTGATTAATGGTGTTCTTCCTTTCCCTATCTAAATTAATTAAGCTATCTTATTTGGACTGAAAGATTGCTGCCAAAATTGATCCCAAGCAAGGACAAATTGTAGGGATATGAAATTTGATTAATATCAAATTTAAGGAAAGAGAAGGCCAAGCAAACACCAAAGTAGGTGCCTAAGCTCTCAAGCAAGATTAGCTGGGACAACTAAATTTGTGTTCGGCAGCTGTGGGATCCTAAACCACCATGATGGCAATGAAGACCTCCGCTTGGACAAGGGCCTTTCAATTTGATTTTCTGTTTGTCTTGTTTTTTTGTATGAATGTTTGCTCACACTTTTAGATATTATAGTAGATTGTATTTTAATTTTGGTTAACAATACAAACCCATGAACAAGGCTAAAGCCTTGTTTAATTTATTCAATCTATGTCAATAATTCTGCTTTTAAATTTGATTTTGTTGATGTATCAGTTTTTGTATCTAGCTTGAGGAAACAAGTCAACTATTCTTTAATTTTTTTTTTTTGCTAGATGGGTCTATTAAACTGTCATTTTCTTGCTCTTTTGCCTATCATAATGTAAATTTGCTAGTGGTGACTTTATCTGTAATTTGATACATTTGTAGTTACAAATTCAACCATATATTTTCTGTGCACTATGTCGTTGTATTCAATATTGTTTCCGTGTTGACCAACAATAAATTAATTTGAAAACCATACAGGTTGTGAACAAATGGGACCTGCGTAACTATAGCTTTAATATGACAATACCAACATATGAGATGGTGGAAACCGTTTGCATCATTCAACCTGGTAATTGTTTGTCTGCCCTTTTGGAAACCAGTGGGCATAGAAAACCTGGTGCTTCAGCTCCAGTTTACTTTCTGACTGTTGGTGAACGTGGGATTGTACGTATATGGAGCTCGGAAGGGTATGATTATCAAACAAAACTTGTAGCACTTTCTTGTCCTTTTTCTATGCTTAGGAGATTGTTTTATGAACTAATTCTGTAGGTCTCTTTTGCAACAGTGCAGTTTGCTTATATGAGCAGCAATCTTCAGATGTAACCCTTGGCTCTGATGAGGATGACTTGAGAAGGGGATTCCTATCAGCTGTTGTATTACCTTCAGATTTAGGATTGCTCTGTGTAACCGCTGACCAGCAGTTTCTGTTTTATTGCCCTATGAAATCTGCTGGAGGAATGCTTCAGTTGAACTTGTACAAGAGACTTGTAGGATATAATGAAGAGATTCTTGATATGAAGTTTCTAGGTGATGATGAACAATATCTTGCTGTTGCTACAAATCTGGAACAGGTAAACTTTTGAATTGGTTCTTTTAAATTTGATGATCCAATAAATACTTGTATTCAACATGCTGATCAGTCGGCATCCATATTGGTATTCTTCTCCTTAATTATTATACTAGCTTGATTGTAGGAGTCTTATTTTGTGATGTTTATTTACTTTGTGATGCATAATGGTGGTCTAAGAATATTGCATTTTGATTTTCTAAAATTGTGTATCTGAGCAAGAGAATTATGTATTCATCCATTGTTGGATAAAAGCAAGTCGGTTTTTCATATTTGATCTTGACTATGTGCAGGTGCGAGTATATGATGTTGCATCCATGTCATGTGCCTATGTTCTAGTGGGGCATACAGACATTGTTGTCTGCATTGACACTTGCATTTCAACTTATGGGAGAACGATGTTGGTAACAGGAAGCAAGGATAATAGTGTGAGTGACATTCCTGCTTGCTTACAGTGCTGTTCAACCGTTATTTCAATTTTTTCTCTTTTGAAACACAGAATGATTAGGGCTTAGATTACCATGTCAAATGATCTCTATGTTGAATCTTGGACCCGTAAGGCTACAAACTTGTGCTTATGATGGCATAGCTTGAAAATTCTGCAAACCTTGTCTCATAATCTAATATTTTTGTTGTTGAATTTTATACCAGAAAACATTTAAGTACCTTGTTGTTTTTCAAGTCTTCAATCGACTTAATGTTGGAATAGCAAAACACATACTAACATTATTAATTTTACCATTTCGTTGGACTCAATCCCAATGAAATGTTAGTTTCTAGTGTTTTATTAGACCAAGCCCATCAATCTTTCTTTTATTTTGTTTCATTTCATTTAAAGCAGTAATGTTTATCTCTTCGTGGCTATAGGTCCGGTTATGGGATGTCAAAAGCAGACATTGTATCGGAATTGGTAGAGGTCATATGGGCGCTGTTGGAGCTGTAGCTTTTTCTAAGAAATGGAAGAATTTTTTGGTTAGTGGTAGCAGGTGAGTCTGTAAAGTGAACAGGAAGGTCCATCCTTGACTCTCGTGCTATACTTTGTCTGTTCATTTGTGGTACAGATTTGGTTACTTGATGTTATTATTATCATTTTGTGTTTTAGTTTTTGATGTTTTAGCTATTGCTAAGTTATATGCTGTTTTAATATGTGAAGTGTATTTTAATCTCGGAGAATATCTTGAACAGTTATTCTGTACTGCCTCAGAGATCTCAGAAATTTTTAAATTAGACTATTAAAAAAAGAGAATAAGAATCTCTGATGTAGGAGAAATAAAGGTTTTCCATTCAAATCAATGTGTATGAATTGTTACTCTTTGATTTTATTCATTCCTTTGGAAAAATGATGATTCTTAAAGCCTTTATTTTTGGTCATCCATTTTCCACTTATGCATGCAGGATTCGTGATGCTTTTGAAGTAAAAAGTAAACATCATCCTGCTTGGTTGTATTGCTTATGTTGAACAAACATCTTTTGAATTTTCTTTTTCATAGCGGGCTTTTCTTCTGTGACAAGTATTTAGCTGCATGTAGGCATGATTGCTAGTGCTTCTGCTTCAAATACAAATTTTAAACCAACATTTTATTGTTTCTTTCTTGGTTTCATATTAGTTTTAGTGAGTCCTCATCTTTTTCTTTCTTTTCTTGTTGTTGGAGATGCTTGTTCAAGACTATGCTGATCGTGTTTTTATTTACTGGTGCATTAGCTGGTTACTTTGACCATCTCAAGATTATAAGTTTTCATATTCGTTTGGTTAGTTCTTTTGCACATCTGACTACACTCTTCTCCATTGTCTACATTATGATTTTTGTGTCCTGCTTACTCATGAAGCAGACTCTCTTTTGAATTTTGTTACCGCTTTTATGGTTCTTGTCGTGATCTGGTCAAATAAGAGCATTGAACCATTCTCATGATGAACTTAAAACATGTCTTCATTTATACATTAAATAATATGGCACATTTTAACTCAATTGCAACTCCGAGGACATGAGTCATCTCTATATCTGCTATTCATTTAAATGGGAGGACACTTGGCACTTTACCATTATCCATAACCCTCTCTAATATATGTTCTATATATTCAATCCATTGTTACCTGCTAAGGTGACCCTTTCACAATTGATTTGGACTTAGGGCCAGTATCAGATACCTCACTGTTCATTAACTACAGTAATAAAAATATACAATTTTCAATGACAGCATGAGATGACCTTTTCTAAAAAAGATTATAATAGATTTAGAACATTGTGCTTGTTGGTTCACATCATAAACTGTTATAGTAGTCCCCTAAAAGGCTAAAACAATGGTTATTTTAATCATTATTCATTTAATTCTGTATGGAGGGTTTCCACTGACAATATATATGTATGTTCTGTTTTCTTTTCTTGCCCTTTTCCATTGAACTTGCTGCCACAAGCCTTGATAATACTAGTATACGGATAGTTGTCTTGACTCGAGTATTTTTTTTGTCTATTTCTTTGATATTCTTACCAATATCATCTTATATTAGTGATCGGACCATTAAAGTCTGGAGCTTTGAAGGTGTCTCTGAAGATGGGGATCAGGAGATTGCCCTTAAAGCAAAGGCAGTTGTGGCTGCACATGATAAAGACATCAATTCTCTTGCCGTCTCACCCAATGATAGTCTTGTTTGTAGTGGTTCTGAGGTTAACAACTGGTTCAAATTTTAGTTATTATCTGATTCACCAGTAAACCTAATTTTTGGTTGATTCTCTAATATATACTTCTTTCACCTTTTTATTACTTAGGATCACACTGCTTGTATTTGGAGACTTCCTGATCTAGTATCTGTAGCTGTGCTTAAAGGGCACAAAAGGGGAATCTGGTCTGTGGAGTTCTCTCCTGTAGATCAATGTGTAATAACATCATCTGGTGATAGAACTATAAAGATATGGGCTGTTTCTGATGGCTCATGCTTAAAAACATTTGAAGGCCATACTTCAAGTGTATTACGAGCTTCATTTCTTTCACGTGGGACCCAATTCGTTTCATGTGGTAAAGAAAGACAAATTGTGATCAATCTTCATATGTTTTTAATTTTCTAGAAGTATCTTCTGAAGCAGAATATTTCCACTTTCAGGTGGTGATGGCTTAATTAAACTCTGGACAATCAAGACAAGTGAGTGCATTGCAACCTATGACCAGCATGAAGGCAAGGTACTAATTTCTGTTTGTCTGCTGTTATACTCTCTGAGATAGGTGATGTTGTACTGTAAGCTTTTTGTATTCATATAATTTCTTGCCTGTGTTTTTAGTTATTTTAGTAATTGCAATTTTTTTATAAGTCACCATGCATTGTAAATCGGCAGTCATTACATGATTTGCTTCTCATGCTGTGAAGGAAAGACTGAAAGAGCCCAACCGAAGATTATGTGAACCCAACCATCCTCCAAAATTCATGTCAAAATTTTGTTATATTCAGCTTACCTTTCTTCTCGAAGTTGCTTATACTGTCTTCTAGTTTTTTTTATGCACAGCTTTTCTTAGTTCAAAAATGAGAAAATCTTATTATAAAAAATATGCCATGCATCTTAAAGAAAAATAGAGGAATTCTGAAATACTATCCCAAGGGAAGTTCATTACTTGTTATGTGACTTGTTTATTTGATAATCTAATCTGTCTTTTACTAGCCCATTGTATGAGTTCTCAAATTTGAAGTGCGAGTACCTCATGCCTAACTGAATGTTTCTTACGTTAGTTTCATTGAAGTGCAAGTTGCTTTTCTAAGGGACGGGTGCATGGTACATTATTTTTTAATAACTTAGGGCTCAAAGTAAAGGATCATTAGGTTCAAGTGTTCCAAACCTTGGTTGATTGTCTTTTTAAGACCGTACTCTATGATTTGACTAAAAGGGCTGGCATTTAAGTCAATATACTTGCAATATTGAAGCTTTTGGATATTCCTGTGTTTATGGCCTGATATCGTTTTTATCGCTATGGGAGCTTATGCATAATTCCCAATCACCAACTGCTGCCTCACCAATCCTGCTAGTCATCCATCATTTCCAAGCTTTTGGAAATATATGAGCTTAAAATTCGATAACTGAAATATTGAAGGGATCTTAACCTTTGATTGATGATAGTAAGCAGAAGAAAGCTAAACCCATTAACCAACTGGAACTAAAAATCAGATTGGTGATTACTGTGATGAGTGTCCATGAACTATTAGAACTTGCTTGAGCCTACAACACTTCATTTGGTGGTCTAATTGGTGTCTGACATTGAAGTTACACTTTCATGCTAAGTTTGATATAATTTTGGAGTTAAATTTAATCAATCTTGTATTAGTTGACAATTGAAGCTTATATTTATAACAATCTTTCTAGATAACATCAGCATCCTAGAAATTTACAAATCTTGAATTAGCCTTCTGGTTTGGTCTGTGTGATAGGATGTCAATATGCCAAAATTAATAAACCAACCAGGTTCCCACACCCAAAAATAGGGTCTTGGACTGGCTTGTCAAGTTCAAATCAGCCAGCTTTCTTAAGGTTTTCAACCCAGAACTGGGCTATTAAGAATATTTTACTTATCCAGGTATTCAGCAGATGAAATAATAGGATTGGACCCGTTCAACATTATTTGTTTTGTTGAGAATTATAAGGGATAATCCCTAGCTCAGTGATTGTCATCTTACTGCCTGGTGCTAGCTAGGTTCCCAAGGCTGGATAAGGGTTGAGAAGTGACCTATATCTAAGCCCGGTTGTATATATATTTTTTTCTTTTTCTTTATTTAGTGCCAAGATTGGTTGGAGTAGTTTGACAGCATCCCAATCAATCATGTTGTGCCAATATCACATTTTTGGTGCTTAAAATTTTAGTGCTTTCTGCCCATTAGATGAATTGATGTCTTGAAAATTAATGCTTTGGTTCTTGCTGGCCATTGCATGCCCTAATTTACTTTTTCTCCTCTATCCCAAATATGTACGATATTTATTGGCAATGATTGCTGTATATCAAGAGTTCTGTTGCTGCCTATTTTCCAACATAATTAATTAGCTTCAAACGTGCAAAGAGTAGTTTGGCTTTTACATATTTTCACTTTTGTTATATTTTGCAGATTTGGTCATTGGCTGTTGGGAAGAAGACAGAGATGCTAGTGACTGGTGGTACAGATGCCTTAATTAATTTTTGGCATGATTCAACTGCTGCAGATAAGCAGGAAGCCTTTCTTAGAGAGGTGAGTCAAATTTGCTTTGGGAGTCAAATTTGTCTAGTACTTCACGATTCAAACATTTTTTTTTGTCCTTGCACCCTATTAGTCAATGCATATTGCTTTTTACAAATGCGATTCGTCAGCATAGTATTAAATATTTCTATATATGCTTTTGTAAAATCTTTTCAGTGCTAAAGCACTCTTTAATAGAGATGTTAATCTTTTCCAGGAACTTCTGTCATGCTAAACATTATGGTCAACGCTCCGTTATATGCTTGATATTGTAGAATTTTGTTGACATGTAAATTTGTAAGTGTTTTGAGAACTGTATGTGAGAATGTTCTTGGATCAAACCACCATCATGACATGATTGTACTGAGGCACATGAAAGATGCATTTGCTAAAGAAACTTATAGTTTGGCGCCCTTTAGATGATTTTAGCATCTCAGCCATATTAAATGTGCAGTGCCATTACATCATCTTGTTCATTTGTTTTAATCAGGTTACGTTTCTTGTGGTTGAATAGCCAAAGATTAAGCAGAGTATGAATAGGCTAAAATTTATTACAAAATGATGTTTGCCAATCTTAAACAATTCCAAGACATACTGGAATTAGTATTTGATGCACTTGGTATATTATCTTATGAGAGAATTTGCTGCTTTGCTTTCATGTGTCATAAATATCCTTGCATTGTGTATAGACATATACTGTATCAACTTACATTGTAACTGGATGACATGATATACTGCATCATCAACTATTCATAGGTATTCAATGTGTGCAATATTCTTGTTATCCTATGACCTAACCCTAGTGGTAGCTGTCAAACTCTGTGAACAGTCTAATGATATGCTGCTTTTTCTGCAGCAACTTGGTGTTCTACATTATATAAATTTCCTTTTTAATAGAAAAGGGCCCAGTGGATAAGGCACTGTCATGTTTAGACTACAGAACAATCTTGTTTTACTAAGAAGTTTGCTACCACCCTTATTCTGGTGGGTATGTTCGTGGTCTACCCTATGATTGTTAGGCAAAGCCAATAGGGATGCATGGCACCATAATTGAACTTGTGTGCCTTAGTACGACCACGGTGGGAAACTACTATGATTCTTTATGTTTATTGTTTTGTACAATGACTATGGAATTAGCACTTTAAGTAGAAGTCTGACTCAGTAACACATGATGTATCTGGACATTATTGAAATAGCAGTTGTATTTGGAATTTTGTTAGACTAATCTTTGTTCGGAAAATTGTGGTCTGTGTTCCCGTACCAGACGGTTGTTTCTGTGGTTCTGGTATATATAAGATAACACAATGAAATGATATTGCTGATTATCCTGTCAAGTAGATGATCTTTTGGGCTGTTAGGCTTATTTTTATTTTAAAGCAGCGACAATCCATTTGAAAACTGAGAGGTTATTAGTTTAGTAAAAAAATGTTTCTTGGTTTCTAAGATCACATGGAGTTTCTTGCTTTCGTTGACACTTAGTTGATAAGACAGATTATTATGGCTTTACTGCTTTCAAAATTTTCTTCAAGGTTCCCCTAGCTGTAAAAAAACCACATTTTTAGTATGATCTTGTTGCTGGAGCCAATGGTATAGACCTACTAAGTTAATTACTTAGTTACCCATTTGGCTAGGTTTTGTGCAACTGCTTCAGCAGCCATGGTAACTTCAGACAAATTTATGTTGGTACTTATTGCTTTGGTAAGCAAAATCAATTTAGCCTTTTGACTTGCTGCTACTTAACATCAAAAGCTCTTCTTTGCATTAGTAACAGTATGCTGTTCATTGATTCTTTTTTCCCTTCCATTAGTAAAATTTACGGATTGGTTTTGAGTGCACATATATTTATCTCAAGTTTAGGTGGTTACCCTCCCTTGAGACCCTTACCCAATTAGTACTGTTCATTTTCATGTAACAGCATGCTGTCGCCGTTCTGTTTTCCCTCCATCAGTAAGATTTATGGCTTGGTTTTGAGTGCACATATACCTATCTGAAGTTTCGGTGGTTGCCTTTTCTTGGGAAGACCCTTACCCAATTCACGAAGGAACATCTAGTGGCACTGTGTAGAATACGTACTGTAAGGGTCCCAGAACGTAAAAATCTCACCTTGAGTTTCCAGATACATCTTTAAGATCCCATATCATGTGATTTACGTATTTCTGCAAAATCATGCACGGATCAGTTGATTTGAAGCAAACATCCCTTGTTCAACATATGAGTGAAGGGAACTTATGGTTGCTTTTTGCTTTTCTCATATATTTTGTGCACTGAGTTTTTCTCTTGGTACAGGAAGAAGCAATTTTGAGGGCGCAAGAACTGGAAAATGCTGTGTCAGATGCTGATTATACAAAGGCGATTCAACTTGCATTTGAACTTCGGAGACCACACAAACTCTTTGATCTATTTTCACGTCTTTGCAGGTTAGCAACAATCAATGTACCTCTTTTTTGCTTATTGTCCATCCCTACAAACATTTGTGGTGTTGTGCAGGAGAAGAGATGTTGAAGACCCAATAGAGAAGGCTCTTGGTGGTCTTGGAAAGGAAGAAATCCATGTGCTTCTTGAATATGTACGGGAATGGAACACAAAGCCCAAACTGTGTCATGTTGCACAGGCGGTGCTTTTTCGAATGTTCAGAATCTTTCCTCCGACTGACATTGTGGAGGTATCTTCCTGCCCTCAGAAATGTTTGCGAGATCCAAAGCCACAACCATGGTCTTCACTTTGTGATGAATTAATGATAAACTTTTGTTCAATTTATTCTAGACATTTTTCTGGTTCACCCAAATTTAGGTTTCTCTGCCTCCATTATCTATATGCTGCTTGCTCATTTCTTGATAACCAATTAAATATCACACACGGACATGTACTATCCCCTTTTTAGAGAAAGGTTTAGGTAATTAGGACAAAGTGAATTCATTAATCTTGAAGGACTAGTATCGGTTGTTTGACCTTTTTAGCTATTTCTTTTTCAGGTTAAGGGTGTTAGTGAACTCCTTGAGGGTCTTATACCTTATTCGCAGAGGCATTTTAGCAGGATTGACAGGTTCGTGAGAAGCACCTTTTTGTTGGACTATGTTCTGACCAGGATGTCCGTTGTCGACCCAGAGGAGACGAACCTTCCAAATAATGGAGAACATCCTATGGCTTCAGAGAATGGTGTGGCTGACGAACAAGATGCACCTCAAAGTAATAGCCAAGTAGATGAGATATCGTGCAAAGGTGACACAGACAAATCATCGACCTCTAATGAGATGGACAGTATGACATCTTTGAAGAAAAGAAAATCAAGGAAATCGAAGAAAGGCTCAACCAAGAAAGTCAAGTTGACAAAGCACAAGAACAGTTCAACCATTTCAGTGGAGGCCTGAATTCTCCATGCCACCTTCCTCGTCTCACAAAAAGAGAATTTTGGTAGCTAGCGTTACAAGTTCGGTCGGCCGTTTCTTTTGGTGTATTATGTAAGAGTATTTTGTTTTCTTGTAGATCATACAGTAGAGATTCCTCCGCTGATGGCAGTGCTGCTCTGTTTTTTCTTTTTTGGGACTTGTAACATATATTGATTACATTAGATGCAGTGTATTATTATTACCATACAAGAAAATGAACTTGTTTCACGTTTATGGTGTAGTTGGTGTATTCATAGATAACTGGGAAGTCCTTGATGAGATGGCTATTTTGTCTGTCCCAACCTACAAACTATTGCCATCTTCCCAAACTCATAGCATGCCGTATTTAATTAATTGCTAAATATATTGGCTTAATTCTTGTGATTGGTTTGGTCCATACATGGTAGATGCGACCACTCTACTCTCACCAACCTTTTTATGTAAATGCAACTCTGAAAAGGATCTTTTAATCTGTTTGATCTCCCCGACTTTTTTTTTTATCATAAATACGACTCTAAAAAGTCTCTCTCCGTCTCTGTCCACCTTTTTCAAGTAAGAACCGAGGGACGACGATGTTCTCAACCTCTCGTGCTCATCATGTTGTGCTTGGCATTTTCCCAAGCAAGTTAGACTGAATCTAAGCATGTGAAACAACCATTCTACCAAGTTGTTACTCTGATGGTGACCGTGACCGTGACCGCAACATTTGCTCCAACTCCGTGACCTGCACGCACCCCGACGGCCCACCAAACTGCCGTGAGCTTGAATCTTACATGGAGTTCTCCGGTGGCGGGTTTGAACAGCTCGTGGAGGACTTGGAATTTAGAGTCAGGCGGAGACTTTTGAACTCACTGTGGTTACCCCTAAAGTCTGCCACTCTATGCCATCTCATTGGCCAATACTTGGAATCAAGAGCTAATAGATGGCGGCAGTCTGCAAACTGAGTCTGCTCGCAAACAGCGTCACGCCTCAAACACTCGCGGAGTCCATACCTCCTTCCACAGTTTTACTACGTATGATGTCTATTCTTTCTTTCCTCCCTTTTCAACCGCCTGTGCGTGTCAATGAAGCCATCCACCACGCCACCCCTATATAATAATAAACACTAATCCTCCCTCGTTCATGCACCACTACGACTCCCACCTACACCCATCATCGACGTGTAGTTCTCCAAAGTTTCATAGTAATCCGAGCGATCTTCTCGTGGTTATTCCTCTCTTCCTACCGAAACCTTGGACCGGTTTCCTCCGACGGCAAGGTCGATGAGGCCTCGCGCGGCTGGTGCACTCCTGCTCACTATCGTCGTCGCCTCGACCGTCATCGAGCCTAGCCTGCAAAGGGTTGCAGCAGCGAGGCTGGTGCCGGATGACACTGGCGGGAGCTACGTGGCCTCCGAGAGCACCGGCCGGGAGGGAGGAGCCACCCTTGCGGTGTGGCTGGAGGCGTTGTCACACGGCCCCAGTGCCAAGGGTCCGGGCAACGGATGAAACCAAGCCATACCCAAAGCTCCGTCATACGATCAATAATCACCATGATGTGATCCCCAAGTTATATATATTCCTTCACAGAAAACTTTCTTGTATACATATATGTTCTTCGCAATTATCAACTGAAAAAATACTCTGTTGACCTTCGTATTCTCATCTCTCTCTTGTCGACGAGGTCAAAGTGGACGGGCATCAGATCAAATGGAATTCTTTCTTCTTCCTACACCATATTTATTTGCAAATGTTACTATGCTTTCTTGATGCTCAAAGGCCTTTAGTATCTCATTTCAGCGTGCATCGATTTAGATATCTTTAGCATGTCGATATTGACACGCATTGCGCACGGTTGTGCACTGTTGTAATGTTAATAGACTTCAAGTCGGAGAAACAGTTTGTATGCAATTTAATGGTAATGAAAATAAATTATTTTTTTTTAAAAAAAAATTTCAGCAATTCGATTTCCTTAGCTCTCCGAGTTCAACATGCTCTCAATCTAATATCGAGATTAACTGGTGATGACGACGACGACGACGACGACGACGATGATAATAATATTAATAAAAAAATTAATAAAAAATTATATGCAAGTAAAACATTAATAATAAATTATATGTGATGACGACGACAACGACGACGATGATAATAACAAAACTATAAATCTTAACTACTAAAAATCGATATTTTAGTGCCATTGGATTATGTAAAAAAAGCTATATATATTTAGCTAAGTTAAAAGTAAATCTTTATTTATAGATCTTTTAAATATGTCAATATCATCTTAAATAATTCTCTTAATTCTATCAAAACAATACTTAATTATTTATATATATTTTTTCTTATCTTTCCTAATAAGCTTCACATATCCACAATATATCCACAATTATAATATGTTAAAAACTAAATAAAAATTTATTTCTTAAAGTGTCTCTTCTCGTTCAAAATGGTGATGTAATATATCCCCTTTTGTTGTGGTTATAAAATAGATGAAATAAATCAAAAAAATAAATTTTTATTCAGGAATGAAATCTTATTGAAACTGTCCACATCCGGTTCATCCTTCGAAACCACATTACTTGTCGAATTTGATGAAATAGGATGAATTGAGATGATATTTTATAAATATGTAATTATCTTGAATATATCAATCATGTTTTTCTTTTTTGATCGGTTGGAAGGAATAAAGGGAACATCTTATTTTTTCTTCAAATATTTTTGATCTCTTGTGGACCTCTAAATATAATTCAAACCCAGATGAAGTTCCGATCATCTGTTAGAGAAAAAAGAATGAATTGATCTCGTAGGATTCCCAAGAAATTTTTCGATTTCTTTCAGAAGTAGTTATTATTCATCTACTTCTCAAATTCGATGAATAGTTGGGACATTGAGAAAGATCCACAAAGGTATTTTGGGAATCGATCGGAGTCTATCTCTATTTGTTCCATTTGAAGAAAGGAAGGTTCCTAAAGAGTTGATCTTTCTTTTAGTTGCTGAATCTTTGTTTGATCGTTCAACATGGGATATTCCAAATCATTATTTCTAATAGAATCGATTTATATCGATTAGAAGATCTTTTTAATTGACTTAAATCCCTTAAACAAAAGTAAATCTTATATAATTATATTGAATATTTGATAATACATTCTGTATATTACTTAAAAATCGATCCTTGGTTACTGACTATATATTGTCTAACCAAATCATATTTTCTCTCAATATATTCCTTAAAAAAATTTATTTATACTAATTCTTCCCCCAACTAACAAAAAGATTTTGTCGGAATTATCACATATGAAATTGAGCACAATTTTACAAAGAAATACTGCATTTGTTTATCGAGAAGTGATGGGAAACATACTCAATATCAATATCATTTGATTGAATAGTTGCCTCAGCTTCTTATTGTTTAAAGAAATCCTCTTCGTTTGAGATAACAAATCAAGTCATTCTTAAGATTTTGAATATCTGCCCCAAATTTAAGTTGATTATATTTTACTTTTTCCTCATAGGAAGATGATCAAACAATTTCCAATCATGGTCTTTGCAGATCGAATCATCCATATACGATAAAAAAAAAACCCTAGATATTTGATATCGGTCTCTTTGAATGAGATATTAATTCTAGCTACGATTTCATTAGATATCTTACAATTAGAATCCATCTTTTTTTCGATCTATTCCTCCACTACTACCGTTAGATTTAGGCATGATATACTTTTTATTTATTGGGAGATTATTTATTGCATGACGGAATAAAAAAGCATCTATACGAGATTATTTATTGCTCTGATCGAATAAATGTAAGCAAAACATAAATTAATATAATATGTTATGATAATAATAATAAAACCATAAGTCTTAAGTATTAGAGATTGACTGCGTAGATATTTTAGCATCATCGGGTTACATACATAAAAAAATATATATTCAATTAAGTTAAAAGTATTTAAATCTTTATTTGTAGGTCTTTTGAGGATGTTAATCTCATCTTAAATGATTTTCTCATTATATTCTCTATCAAAACGATACCTAATTGATTACAAATAAAAATATTCCTTTTAATCTTTCCTAAGAGACTTCATACAATCACAATATATTAAAATTTTATAATATATATATATATATATATAATAAATAAATCAAAATTATTTGACTGTTGTGTTGGTTGAATATGCTAAATACTTCTGTTCCTAAAAACATACTAAATAAGTAAATAACGGATAATGACAACGAAATTTGTGTAGATTTCAATTATTTATGATTTAGTAAGGATCGTAAGGGAAAGAAAATGAAATGTCATCAGGGGAGAGCATGAGAGTGATTTGTGATATTACGATCTACACATTGCATTGAGGGAGAGATAAAATAGCATTGAGGGAGAGAGAGAGAGAGAGAGAGAGAGAGAGAGATGGAGAGAGCGATTTCTGAGACATGACATTTAGTAAAGATTGTGAAGGAGACAAATGAAATGTCATCAAGAGAGAATGAGAGAGCGATTAATAACATTACGACGATATATACAGACAGGGGTGGTGGCATCTTCTTCTTCTTCATCCCCAACTTGTCGTCATGATGGAGAAGAAGACTCAAACCACAAAATGGAATTGTGAAAAAGACTGTGAGGGAGAAATGAAATATATCATGAAGGGAGAGAGTAAGAGAGATTTACGATCTACATGTGAGATGATGGAAAAGCTCAACCCAATAAAGACCTATGTAGAAATATAAATTGAGTTAGCTATTATGTATGAGCAAAGACATGATCAAATTATTAACGTCGTCGCTCCTTAAGCTCAAGCATTGAGATCATGTAAGCTAAACAGGAACAAAGGTTGCTTCTTCCCCGGGAGGACTTGGCTATTCGAGAGTGAGGCTCTACGAAAACTCTGGCTGGCTCTTGAGCTCCGTTTGATGGAGATGATATCCCCATCGGCATTTAGGATTCATTAGTGGAGCTGCTATTAAAGATATTATCATCAACCAAGGATTCAAACCTCCATCCTAAGTAGACTTTGATTGTGACATGCCTGCCGTCCGTTCATTGGCCATCGGACAAGAGAGATGCTGCTGCGACGGACCAATCGACAAATCATATTATTTTGTTTACTTCTCGAGGAATGAATGAATGAATCCTGAAGCATCTGCGTTACGAAGCCACTTCGAGACGATGCAGCAGCTTTGCTCGTGGCACGAAGCGACCTGGAAAGCACTCCGGAGGCAGGCCGGCCTTTCCACATTCCTCGTCGCCGG